TTCCTTTCTTGATTATTTCGTTTGTGGCGATTGAGAGACCAGCCAGTTCTGTTTGAACCACGCTGGTATTTTTTCCCATTTCCCACTTAATCCTTAGACTTAGTGATCTGGAGTAATTTCCACATCCTGAGCCTTCTTTGGTTTTTGAGCCGTGTATACATATGCGTATTGCATTTGTAGTTAAGCGACGTTTCGGAGACTTTAGTCTCGAAGATGAGCCCCAAAGTGGTCGACCTACAGTAATCCAATGCTCGAACACCTTTCTCATGCCTGAATGTTGATTTAATATGTGACAAACACGTTCTTTTGACATGTTCATAACATGCTGCCATATTCAACGAGTCATTTTTTGTGGAGGAAAAAAAATCAGTTTTTTTATCGACCTTTTTTGGGTAATTGTTACCTTCCACAATTTGAAAAATATAAAAACTATAAAGGAGAACTTTATACAAGTGTAGAAGGGCAAACTTTTTAGTTCACCCCGATAAGTTACTGCGTAAAAATCAAAGTATTTTTCTAAAAGAAAAATCTTCTATTTATCAGTAACTTGTCGTATTTAACCATTTTGCCTATTAAAGGCAAAAATCTGCCTCCGTCTTCAGGAATGGATAAAAAATTCGAATATATTCGCAGTTATTCCTTTTTTTGATAGTTTATTTTTTTACTTCTTCGACAGATGTCAAAGAAGTTTTGAAATATGAAATGATGTCAATGTTGTTGATTGACAACTGAAATATTATATCAAAAAGATTATTAAGAAATGATACTTATCTTTTACGTTTCGGAGGCCAAAATCTGCCTCCGTCTTCAGAAATGGATAAAAATTCGAATAAATTCGCAGTTATTCCTTTTTTGATAGCTTATTTCTTTACTTCTTCGACAGATGTCAAAGGAAGTTTTGAAATATGCCATCTTTCTCACTTAAGGAGTTTCCTGTAGTGCTTGAGTTTTGTCCTTAAAAAAATAGAGAATTGAAATACATTTCGAGCAAAGGGTCACAAGCAACCATTTGTATTTGAAAAAAAAAAAAAATAATAGCTCCCTCTCTGCGGCGAGTTATGTCACAACATTGACTGTTGTGACCTAAAAATGATTCCTTTTCATATTTTTCAAAGGCATTTGACCGAGTAAACCACAATTTGTTGTTGCATAAACTAAACGCTATAGGTATTCAAGAAAACATTCTGAAATGGATTGAAAATTAACTAGCCTGCAGAGAACAATTTGTAAAATATTTGTCTACAGGTCCTGATGGAATTCCGCTATTCCTAATCAAAAAATGTATTTTTACCCTGGTCAAACCAATTCACATAATATTCAATATTTCCTGGAAATCGTCGATCTTTCCAGATTATTGGAAAAACAGTTTTTTGAAACCTATTTATAAAAGTGGATCACATAATGATATAAAAAATTATCGAGCAGTCTGCAATCAATCAGAATTACCCAAATTGTTAGACAGCCTAATTACAAAAAAACTAACATGGGATTGTAGACATATAATTATTAATCAATAACATGGATTCAGTAGTGGTAGATCTACCAGCACAAAACTGCTAATTTATCAACACTGTATAATAAACGCCTTCGAAAATAGACACCAGGTGGATTCTATTTACACAGATTTTTCAAAGGCATTTGACCGAGTAAACCACAATTTGTTGTTGCATAAACTAAACGCTTTGGATATTCAAACAAAACATTCTGAAATGGATTGAAAAGTATCTAGCCTGCAGAGAACAATTTGTAAAATATGGTAACTCAGTATCTTCCTCAATCACAGTTTCATCGGGTGTACCACAGGGTTCTCATTTAGGGCCTTTGCTTTTCAACCTATTAGTAAATGACTTGAAAGATGTTATTCTTCATAGTGAATTTCTTTTGTTTGCTGATGACCTGAAGATGTTTAAAGTTTATCTGACTTTGTTCGCTGATGTGATATAAATCTACTGCAATTAAATATAGACGAATGTCAAAAATTTAATTTTCTTCGAAACAAAAATCCCATTAACTGGCCATATAAAATCAATCAATCAGAACTGAAAACAACAAACACAATCAGAGATTTAGGAATCACTCTCGACCCAAAAATGCCATTTAAACCCCATATCGCAAATATTACTTCTGAAGCGCTAAAAATGTTAGGTTTCATTCTTAGATCTGCAAATGAATTATCTCTCATTTCAATAAAAACCATATATTGTTCAATTGTTAGATCAATAATCGAATACAATTCCACAATTTGGTGCCCTTCATATCATGTGGATATTGATATGCTTGAAAGTGTTCAAAATAAGTTTTTAAGGTACTCTGCATATTAATTGGGATATCATATGACTATAAAATTATATTGGACATTCATAACTTGTATACTCTGGCTCATAAAAGATTATCAATAGATCTTATACTAATTCATAAAATAATCAATGGTAGCATCAATTCCCCGGAACTTGTCGAACCTATGACTTTAAATGTGAATTCCCTCTTTCAAAGGTTAAGAGGGGAGGGGACTAATTACGTCAGCACTGTATATCGGGCTTTATTAGAAAATCAGGTATTGATTAATCTGGGGTAAATCGGGTTGAAAATGAATGAGTTAGGTATTCAAGATCAAAATTTGTCAACATTTCAAGGTGGCCGTTTTTATGCACCTGAGTGTATAAACCGGGCATGCTGAATCATATTTCTCTTGTCAAGCTCGCGAACCGTATTCTTTCGATACGTGACCTGTATCCTAAACAAAACGACTCTCAGGTTGAGATGAACGCTCTCAAGGCAATGGTAATTTTGCGATTCGCAACAAAAATGCGCATATTAGGATAATCATGAACGCGCCTAAATTCCAAAGAAACTACTTTTATTTCTGTTAATATTTCTAACTCGAAGAGAGATCTTCGAAGAAACAAGTTCCTTACTGGGGTACCAAAAACCAACCCGAAAATGTTTACATAACGGGCGTATATAAACAAAACTACGTGAGAACCTCAACGTAATGCCTCGACTGGAAAAAGAGACAACAGTACTCGGACACGAGCTGAAAAGGGACAATAGTACCGATATTTACATCAATCAAAATTAGAAGGGAAGGAAACTGTGACCGGCAGAAAAAATCTTGATAGATTATACATCGAGCCGGCTGTGAATGACGTGGTTGTTTGTGTATAGCGGGTGGTAATTTTCGGGAACCAGTAAAGTTGAGAGAAAAGTTTCGTCTGGTGTGGTGATGTTTTCTTTTAGACTGCTAAGTGATTTTTTGTGGAGACGTCAAAAATGTGTTTTTTCCAAACGTGCAGTCAAATTGGTTTTTTGTTTGAGAAGCTGCCAAAAATTGATAAAGGTTGAAGCTACAAAGCTGCGCTTTCGACACTGGTAAGTTTATTTAATTGTTTCCGAATGTAAGCCGAAACATTTTTGGTTTCTGTTTCCAAAATACTAATTTATAGTATTTTGGTTTTTCACTTTTTGTCAAAGCGTCAGTTTTTATTGTTTACCTGCAATCTGTCACGTAACGTATTTTTCTTCATAAAATGTTTATAGGTACTTTCTGTCTCTATTTTCGAGTTTCTTTTACTTCCCTATTTTCGATAAAAATACACTATTATTAAAATAGTTTTTTGTGGATCTCGAAAAAGTAAAAATCGTGCTGAAATTGCTACATAAAAACAAAGCATTGCCTATTTTTCGAGAGAAGTAAAGAAATTGCCAGTGGAATTTCTCTGTTACTTTACATGCAACAAAATTAAACTTTGAACGGTTTTTGGGCGGAAAATTAACAGCGTGCTGTAACTACTTTTTTTTTTTTATACTGCGGCGGAAATGGAACAATGTTGGATGAAATGTAAAAACAAGAACTATAGGTAATTCTAGCTTTGACTCTGAAAATTTTAGAGACCAAGGTGATTGAGTTCTATCAACGTTACACTATAATTTGATAATAGTAGGGTTATTTTCTGAATTCAAAGCAACTAACTCTTATTGATACACTGATAATAAGGTCTATAGGATTTTTTATCTTCGTATGACATTCTCAAAGAATACACATTTATCACTCACCAAATTATTATTGATGAAAAATAGAAAAAAAAACAAATCCCAAACCAAGAGTTGATACTTTTTCATAGATCAATCTTATCTTTTTCATTAACTTCACTAAGTCTTTTATAAAAAGTAGAGCATGCGCAAAACAAGAGATGAATTTAGGATGCCGCCATTTACAGTTTTCTTACAATGATACCTTTATCCTTTATATAATTGTTCCTGTATTTATTTCTGGGGAAAGTTGCAAGTCGAATATTCCAATTATTTACTCCATGTACAGGTGGATAATTAGGAGTCTATTCATTAACTAAAGTTGTAGAAAAGACCTAAACATCATTAAAAGGTATCAATAGATATGATATGTGTGATTGATGACTTGTTTACTTTATGGTAATTCATGATCACTTAAATGAAATGTATAAAAACACTTTTGTCTAAATACCACTGGTCTAAATACCACCGGTCGTAAAATAAAATTTTCCAGTGGTATTTAGACAAAAGTGTTTTTATTCATTTCATTTAATAGATATGATGCCCAATTAAATGAAAATAAACAATTTTAATAGAGCAAAATAGATAAAAAATTATAATTAGGAGTCTATTCCACAGTTTTCCAATATTTTTTATTTACCAAAGTTGGTAGACAAACTGCGTCAATAGATATAGGTCCAGATGAAATTAGAATTACCAATTTTAGTTAAGCTTAATAGTATAAAAAACGTAACGTGAAGTATACTACTCTGTTGAAGAAATAAGGCGAATCTTTATTTTTTTCAAAAAATATTTATTTATTCGTCAATTTCTATGTTGTCTCTTTCGAAGTAGTCCTCCTCAGATTTAATACACTTGTACTAGAACCACATTGAACAATGACTGCATGACGATTATAATAGTGGTTTGCTAGATTGAAGTGTTCATCTATTTCGAATCTTCAAAAAATATAAATTTCTTATATGACTCACCTGCAATAACTCCCCAAGGAACTGGTACTTTCACTTCCTCAAAATCTGCAGACTTATCTGAAATTAGAAAAATATCAAAACTGTCAATATATTTCCTCCAATTCAAGTATATTCTTATTCAAAACGAATATTTTTTTTCATCCTCCACAATCTGAAAAAATTGTAATGGGGAACTTGATAAAGGCAAAATTTTCAGTTCGCCCAGATAATAAGTTACTAAGAAAATCCAAAGTATTTTTCGCAAAAAAAAGTTCCCTTCATCTGTAATTTCTCTTCGATAAAATATGTCAATGTCGTTGATTGATTTCTGAAATATTCGATTGAATACAAGGTATTCTCTGTTGCAATTTACCCAGAAATTGAATTTACCCAGAAATTGCATCAGAGAATATTAAATATTGAAAAATTTGTAAAAAATAAAGAAAACATTTTTTACACAAAAAGTGACACATGATTGTTTTTGTTTTTTTTTGGTAGTATTTGAAAAATATATATCGTAAAATTTCAAAAAGTTGCTAGAGGTCACTCCGAATCGAATGAGCCCTGGATCATAATTTTTGGTGCCCTTGAACAGATGTTCCAAAAAAAAGATCTTGTGACCCAGACTAAATATCTATTATCTTTCTTCAAGATGTGTAGCCAAGTACGATTCATTTCTAAGGAGACTAATATGTCATCGAATGTTTGAGAATGAAATCGACAATTTCACAAACTAAGTACCCCGGAGACGATTCGATCTTCACAAACGGCCGAGTCCATCAGAATAGACAATATTGGCATATTTCACATTTCAAAACTCCTTTGACATGTGGAAGAAATGCAATAGATAAAGCTTATTACGATATCGATGTTGACAATTGTAGGCTTTTTAACAAGAGTATTTATAGCAAGAAACAACAGAAAAAACCGGAAACGAAATTTTTCCAAAATAAACAACTAGGTATTCGCTTATCACTATCAATAGTATCATTTTTAATCAATATAGTATCGTTATCTATACAGTAGATTAACTTAAAAACGCAACAAATACACTACCTCACAGGTTGTGCGAACATTAAAGTAAAATAAGACTCCAACTTTTGAAATGGCGACCTCTCGGGAATGGTAATTTGTGAGAAAAAAAGTAAAGCATTGTAGGCAAATGCATGATCTTAACCTTCAATAATTTTTTTATCACAAATAGTTATGACTTTTGATATTTCATTTATAGCACTGTATTTTAAACAATTTTGAGCTCTACGTGAATTACTGTAAATTGAAATGTCTATTTTGACTGGCCTGATAATACATAAATTGAATATGAAAAGATAAGTGTACTTAAAAATTATGATAAAGGGATTGGGTATAACTCCCTCTACAAAGACGTCATCTGTCATCTGTTGACTCATAACACTAGACTATGTGCTCTGGTTTCATCTGGTTAAACATTATCGTCATTTATTGCTAGTGTTTAGTTTCTGATGATGCAATTTCCGTAATAATTGTGGAGGACATATTTAATCTGCATTTAATCATTATAGATTTCGATGTTATCGACGTACAAAGGTCTTATTTTTGGCATTACCCTCGTATTATCTATCAGTCTAACAATCGAGGACCCTACTTATCAATTCGTAGTATCCAAATTATTTGTTGAAATTTGAAACAGCAGACGATACACTTAGTTGTGATACACCTAGGTATTTCATTCTTCATGTAGGGCATACAGGACAATTTTTTTTCACTGTAGTAAACCAAAGGGGTAAGGTTAGGAACAATTTCGCGGCGCTCTATAATTTGATGCCACTTAAAATCTGAAGTTGTATTACTTAGATAAAATAATATCAACATAAAATATTGAACATTCAAGTGAACAATCCACAAGAAATCATTATTTGACTCAATCAACCACGGAATATATTTCAAATTACCCTACTAACCTCACTAGCGGTATGTAATAATACACTTAGGTACCTCAAATATTGACGATTGATAGATAGTAATTTGTACTATAGCCACTTTTCTAGTTTTTTAAGCAAAATAATCCTACAGAATCATATTTCAATGTTGTATGGTGTAAGATAGTAAAAGTGTTAAATCATCCTATGTCTACACTCTGAACTTAATCATTCAGAGTGTAGACATACGGTCGTCGAATACAACAGAAGAAGTGTTTACTCTGTAACCGGAAAACAGTTGTTCCATGTTCAACCCGAATGAATCCCCACCACCAAAATTTGATTAAAAAAAAAGTATTTACCTATGTGGCCGTTCATGGTTCTGCTAATACTGTCAAATAATTTTGATGCAAAACACAATTTCAACGTTTTGCGTGTTGAGAACGAAAACTAAACAATTATACTTTCTTATCGGTTATGCAAACAAAACTCGCATTCTCTTACCGCCAAGACCTTTGATCTTCGAATCGCGGGTTATGTCTCGATTTCGCTCTTTTATATATATATGAATGCCACGTACGTTGGGTGAGAATTTGTTATTCATTGACATTGAGTATATTGATCAGCTGCGTGTCAGTACGATGATTAATCTTATCATCCTAGACTTGTACCTAGACATTTTTTTAATCTTGACGAGTGACGAGACATGATTGCGTCTGTCTAATCATAGATCATGACATAGATCATGACATAGGATATGACATTTACGAGATTACGAATTACGACATTGTCGACGTTATCAGTGCTGCCAATGAAAATGGCGCAAAATACCGCATCGCTTCTGATAATGTTTGCCGCATTAGCAGACGAAACGTCATGTATAAAACCTGATGACCACGGCTAATAAGCTCGGAAACATTTGACAATTTGACCAATAACATTCTTTCAATTTTCAATTACAGAAATGAATTATTCTCAAAATCCCCACAAAAACCACCAAATACTCGTAAAATTCTCACAAAATGCCATTACTAAACTCTTATTGCTTACTGCAGGTCGATGAAGATATTCGCAAATGCAGTAATGAAGAATGAAGGTCACCATCGGCGAGTCCGTCAGAGGGCGCTGGAGGAAGATAGGTCAAAACGACATTTAACATTTAAATAGTTATTAAGTGCCTGAGAGATGGAAATAATGAAGAATATGATGGATTAAAAAAATAATTATCTGAAAAATCGAACAAGAAATTAACAATGAGTGTCTAATTAAAATGGATATAGAGACACTCATTTGTAAATGAAAAAGGATAATCAAATGTATCGAAATATAAGTTTAGATCAATAATAATTCACAAACAGTCGTTGGGAAACTGCCTCTGCAAATGCCGAATAGTTTACAAATTTACCATACGTTTTGCCTCGACTAGCTTTTGCATGCCTCATTCTCGTTTAGATATATAAGCACCTTGTGCTTCCACCACAATTTTTTTTTGAAACCTCAGCCATGCCAAAATACTGCTCTTCATTGGAGATATTTTGAATTGATTTCAATAAATGACGGATGTGACGTCTCATTATTCAAATGAGAAAATGGAATGTTCCAAACAAACAAATTAAGATAATTTCACACCAAAATATGGCTATGGTGTAACCATTTCTGATGACTTTGAACTACAGAAAATCCTACTGCACTTGCAATAAATTATGGAATTATTTCAAATCTATTTCGATTGCAGAAAAGTTTACTTTCATGAAAGTGACAGGCAGAAATAGTGAGACTTTCAATTTGAAAATATCGAAGAGTTAATTTAAAAAAAACTTTATGAGCGATTGTTGATGGTTCTGCGTGATACGGATAGGTGTCGCTCTGCATAATGTCAATATCTTTTTTGATTTTAAGGAATTTCACGTAATTACCTTGATACCTGCATCGTGAAGTCAGAAATGAGAAGTAGAAGCGTGCCTTGAGCTTGACGTTTTAACTTTCAACTACCTTTCTCAATTAGTCGTTTTATTACAGATTGTAAATAGTTTGGGGGTGTCAATTTGAAAATTTAATATACTGACAAAAATATGGGTAGTCTTCTGAAAGTAAAGTCATTGATAACCAAACAACTGAGTAATGCCGTCAAGGTAACCAACTTATTTTATAATTAATTTTTTGTTTATTACATAACTTTTTGAAACAATGTAGCATAAATGCTATTTTGCGTTACTAAGAACATTGTTTGGTTGTAACAGAATATTTATTTTTTATTAACCTTTTTGGGTATTTTCATCTTCCACAATCTGAAAATAAATTGTAATGGGAAACTTTCTAGGGGTAAACTTTAAGTACACCCTGATAAGTATTTCCATTTGAAATTTTAATCAATACCTACCTTTTCTTGATGAAAATGAGAATGGACCTTTTGAAATTTCACTTTTCCTGTTGATCGTATTGCAATAAAAATATATCTAGAAAAAATATACCATAAACAATTCTTCGAAAATGAATCTTACTTGCTACCCGTCTTGAAGAAAGTTACAGAATTGCAACAAACTAATATCAGAATCATGATCAATTGTTTCAAAAGCCAATAATCTTTCATAGATTATGTTGTCTGGTGTGCCTCTGAATGATTTACTCATTTATTGTTTCAATCCCGTAATGAATTTTCAGATTACAAACTTGATAGGAAGAAATGCTTTCATTGTAATCAAATGTTCATATGTTTGAAAGTATTTGTTTCAGATGAGTTTTTTCCGTTTTGTATCTGAAACTAATCTTTTCTGACGAATTTTTTGTTTCAATTCAATCAACCTTGACATTTTTCAAATCTCCTTTGACATCATATCTGTCATGAAATTTTCAATTGTGAATATGAAGGTTCCTAAACATTAAAACAAGAGTCTGTAAAATTCTCAGCTCTTTATTCGATAAGCATAATTATCAAATATGCACCCTCTAGCGATTCTCATGAGTTTTCCATCACAATTTTTAAATTTTTAGATTGTGGTAGGTGAAAAAGATTGGCAGTAACTGTAAGTTCCTCCACAAAAAATCACTTGTTTAATATTCCAGAATTTTTCGTTATTCAACAACTTTCAAAAAAATATCTGAAATGCAATTTTTAAACCTTTATTTCAGATAAACTTGGGCCCCCAGACCATCTCTCGAGCACTCCACATTCAAGTTGATCGTAAAAATGCTAGTGTCAGCGATACTACCTCAAAAGTCTATCCAATCGTAGACCACACTTATGATGCCGTGGTTGTTGGTGCTGGAGGAGCGGGCTTACGGGCAGCTTTCGGATTGGTGCAAGAAGGTTTTAAAACGGCTGTGATAACAAAACTCTTCCCGACTAGATCTCACACGGTGGCTGCACAAGGGGGTATCAATGCAGCTCTAGGTAAGTCTGAAGCTGACTCGAAATTAATGAATATTCAATACCTTCTTATTTCGTAGTGTTATCTGCTATGCACTGTATGAAACCTTTTTCATTCTTACATGAAGATGCTTTTATCATTAATTAGATTGTATGAATAACATTTCAGCAAACACAGATTTCACTTGAATTCATCAACAAGTTGCTACTATTACTGTGTTAAAGTTATGTAACTGATAATTGTTTTAGTCATCAATTACTAACGACATTCTTAAAGCAATTAATCAAAACAATATTACATGCTTGGTTTTATTAGACTATAGCAATTTTGATAAATTCGCTGTAGTTCGTACTGCAGAGCAGTAAAATGTGAGATTCAGCCGTGACTGAGCTCTTGGCACCCTAAAGTTCAGTTCTGACAGGAGCAAATGGCAGTCTACTTGGCTGTGCAGTAGTTTATGCAAAAAGGTTATTGAAGCACATGTTCTCCTTTTTTCTAAAGAAATTAATTGAAAGTGATTGAGAAGACTATAGTGGTCAGAACCCCTAGCTGGATAAATTCCAGTGTTTTTGAAGTACAAGAACTTCAAAAATTTTCTTTGAACTTTTTCAATTGAGTACTCATGACAGAAATAGTAGGGGCTCCAAATAATTGAGCAGTATTCAAGCTTGGATCTGATATGAGAAATATAATATCTTCAAGGCGTTTTATTTTTTGTGAAGTTTCGACAATTTTGTGTGATAAATCCTAACATTTAATTGGCTTCGGAAACTTTTTTGTTTATGTGATTGGCAAATGCCATTTTAGAGTCAAAAAATACACCTAAATCCTTAGTCTCCACACAACCGGTTAGCAAACTACCTTGAATATTGTATGGATGTTCAATATGTCTATGTTTTCTAGTATATGACATGACTTTACATTTACCTATATTCAGATGTGGGTTATTAATTTCACAGCAAGCCTGCAGATTATCTATATCTTCCTGAAGTTTTATGCAATCATTCACATTTTGGATAGAATTCAGAATTTTCAAATCATCAGCAAAAAAGGTTTCATAGAATTTATTTGTGTTCTCAAATCATTGATAAATATAAGTCTCTCTATACTTGGCTAATGCCAAGTATAGAGAGACTGCTCGACCACTGTTCAAAAAGTTGAAGATCATGACTCTTCCTTGCCTATTCATTTTAAGTACTCTTGTGGAGATCCATAAGAATCTACCAAACTTAGTTACACAGTCTGATATTCATCAACATAATACTAGAGGGGTACACAATATCAGAATACCCAGATATAGACTTACAAAATCGGCAAATAATTCTTTAAATTTTAGCTTATATAATATCTTTCCAGATGATCTAAAAAAGGCCAACATGTTCTGTTTCAAAAAAATTATCAAACTTTTCTTAATTGAAAATTCCTTTTATACACTAGACCAGGGGTCCCCAAACTTTGAAGCCTTCGGGCCATAATGATTTTTTCAGTTTGTTTCAAGGGCCAATTTCTGCCCTTAACTATATTTCTAGACTAGAATAGTCGCTAAGTGCGTGAACTAAGCAAACTTACGCTTTTTTTGCATTTCAATTATTATTGTGTATTGTGACACTTAACGACATCTAGTGGCGAGTAGTGGTACTATGTACTATCTTTTTCAGCTACCCACTAGGTGGCATTAGGCGTAATTTAATATTTGGAATTACCGCGTTGGTTCGATAAAGTTCTGGTTCTAGCTAGTGTATTCCGATCACCTCGAGATGGCAGTAATAATTGCATATAAAAAGGCTAGCGGCGCAACAGCGAGTTAGTCTGCGTAGGAAAGGCGAAGGAAGCGAAACTGTCTACTGTAAAATAAAGTAACACCCGTCAATAAAAGTATTTTTATTTGGACTTATTGTTTTTATGTGTGATTTGTTAGTATGGAAAAGAAGCGAAAAATCGACAGTGAATGCAGAACGTTCCAAGAAAAATGGAACTTTCAGTATTTTATGATTGAGTCCAGGAATAAGGCGCTATGTTTAATTTGTAATGAAACCATAGCTGTTCTCAAAGACTAACATTAAACGACATTATGAATCGAAACATCTTCAAAGTTACTCTAAGTATACAGGAAGTTTGCGGAAGGAAAAATTTGAAGCTTTGAAACGCGGACTCAAATCGCAGCAATCTTTGTTTACCAAAGCGAATACTGAACAAGAGTCTGCAACTCGCGCCAGCTTTCGTGTGGCTCTTGAAATCGGAAAACGTGGCAAACCATTCACCGATGGAGAAATGATAAAAGAATGCTTGATTGCAGTAGCCGAAGAAATTTGCCCCGAAAAGGTAAATTTATTTAAAAGTGTCAGTTTGTCAGCAAACATCGTGGCTCGGAGGGTGCAAGACATCGCAGAAAATATATCATCCCAACTGTCTGACAAAAACGGACATCATGAGTGGGTTTCTCTAGCATTGGATGAGTCAACGGATGTGTCAGATATTGCTCAGGTGTAAATTTTTATTCGCAGAGTAGATAAAAGCTATGAAGTGTTTGAAGAACTTCTTGATATTGATAGAATTCACGGCACGACAACTGGGACAGATATTTTTAAGGGAGTTGAAAATGTCATTAATAAAAAGAACCTTCGATGGAGAAATTTGAAATCTATAACAACTGATGGGGGCAAAAATATGTATGGTAAAAATAAAGGAGTGGTTGCACTTGTGTCAAAGACTGTAGAAAATGATGATGGTTCAAAACCATTAGTCTTACATTGTATCATTCATCAACAGTCCTTGTGCGGAAAATGTTTGGATATGTCTGAAGTTCTAAAACCAGTCATATCAGTTGTTAACTTCATCAGATCCACTGGGCTGAATCACCGACAATTCCGCGAGTTTATTCAACAGATTGGAGAAAATGATTTACCATATCATACTGCCGTACGCTGGCTTAGTTGCGGAAAAGTCCTTAAGCGCTTTTTTGAACTTCGAGCAGAGATCGAAATTTTTTAAATGAGAAGCAGCGCCTTTTTGCCAATTTAGAAAATAGTGAATGAATGTGGAAGTTAGCCTTCTATGTCGATTTGACAAATCATATGAACGAACTGAATTTGAGATTGCAAGGAGAAAATCAGCTTATCCCTGATTTATACACCAATATCAAATCCTTCTGGCAGAAAATAATACTATTTCAATCGCAATTACGTAAAAAATGTTTCACACATTTTGAAACATGTGAAATATTCAGCCACACTACAGAGACTGAATTTCCCGTCAATTTTGCAATCGAAACTTTGGGTGCTTTGAAGATAAATTTTGATACTCGTTTTTCAGATTTTGATGTCATTGCGAATGAAATGAAGCTTTTTCAAAATCCTTTTGATTCTGACATTGAAACCCTGGCTCCGGAAGTCCAAATGGAAATTATTGATTTACGGTGCAGTGATATGCTTAAGAACAAATATAAAAATTCATCTTTGTTGGAATTTTATAAGAGTCTTCCACTGGAACAATTTGATAATTTGCTCGTGGATTGTTTTCTGTTTTTGGTACTACTTACTTGTGTGAGAAAACGTTTTCCAAGATGAAGTACACAAAGAATGTTTACAGATCTCAATTAACCGATGAGCATCTTAAATCTCTTTTGATAATTGGTACAAGTAAAATTGATCCACAACTACAAAGTATTGTCGGTGGAAAATCACAATTACATAAATCTCATTAGTGTTTTCGTTTTACTGTGATTCATTTCAATTATTTGTTAGTTATTAATATGCTTAAACTTGGATACTTGAGTTAAGTTTTCTTTGTCATCATTTCTGTCGTTAAGTTTTACCTTGCAAGTAAATAAAACCGAGTAATTATCATTCTGTGTTTTCTTCTTCAACTTACCACAGCAATAGTAACAGCAATTAGGTAATCATTGGCTGTCGCGTGCCAGATTGATAACAGTAAATCATTGGCTGTCGCGGGCCGGATTGATGACACTGGCGGGCCGGATTTGGCCCGCGGGCCGTAGTTTGGAGATCCCTGAACTAGACGAATATGAAGAAAAGGTGAAACAAGGTGAAATATTTTGATTTATGGTCACTGAGACATTATCTTTAAATTATTTACTCTTATATGTATATTCTGTTGTGGTATATGTCCAGTTTTTTATCTACTTAAAGTTTTTATCCAATGAACAAACTTTTGTGACTTGCTACAAATATGCAACTGTATATAAAGTGGCTAAATAAAGTACTTACTTACTTACTTACTTACTAATGCCTATAATATTGTACAAAATGACTGATGTCTTCTTCCAAAATCTTGCTAGTTTTAGAAATAGATTGTATCAAATTGTATAACCCCTGTTGACTATTTTTTCTTTTTAACCTTTTTGTCATTTGGTTGTATGTATAAATCTATTTGTGATATTTACCTTTCCTACTCTGTTACTGGGCCATGGACTGTGGAGTTTGTATAAATAAATGAATTAATATAAATGAAGAAGTTCTACCTTTTGCAACTCAAAAAAATCTGGGGTGATGGATTGACTCTGATTTGAGAGATTTTTTAAATACATGAACCATCTTTATGAACTATCCTATAATATTTTGAGACCAAATTTTTCTAAAAGAGATGTTTTTTCAAGCCTGCTCAAAATCAAACTATGTGGAACTTCAATATTTTCTAAGTTATTGCACTGTGATTGCATCAAAAAACGAACATCCCACGTATGTGGTGATTGTATGTCTGTAGGTATTTAGGAGATTATTTCATTTTGAGTTGTAATAGTCAACATATTTTTGAAATGAAGCTTATTATTATACTTAGGAAACATGGAGGAAGACAACTGGCAGTGGCACATGTACGACACAGTTAAAGGCTCCGACTGGCTAGGCGATCAAGATGCAATCCACTACATGACACGCGAAGCCCCCAAAGCTGTCATCGAACTCGAAAACGCAGGTATGCCCTTCTCCCGAACCCAGGAAGGTAAGATTTACCAGAGAGCTTTTGGGGGCCAGTCGCTCAAGTTTGGTAAAGGTGGTCAAGCTCATAGGTGTTGCTGCGTGGCTGACAGGACTGGACACAGTCTGCTTCACACTCTGTACGGACAAAGTTTGAGATACGACTGCAATTATTTTGTGGAGTATTTCGCTTTGGACTTGATCATGGAAGGGGGTGAATGCAGAGGAGTTATAGCTCTGTGCTTGGAAGACGGCTCTCTGCACAGGTTCCGGGCTAAGAATACGGTAAGTGCACTAGCCAGGAAAGTAGTTTTATGATACAGAGATCCATATCGCACATAAAGATTATTGAGAGTATTATAATTTATTGAGGTATTCCAAGATTGGTGTTTTTTTACCAATGAATCAGCATAATTTATTTAATAATAATAATAATAAATCGTCTTTATTCATCTTTGGACACATATGTAAAGAGATAACAATAATAGGTATTCGACAAAGATAACGTGGCGAAGTATCACCCATGGGTGTTCTTTAACTTAACCATGGAAATACAATATTAATTCACAATTTTCTTTATTATCTAACAAATTAATGAGTACCTTAAATTCATAAAGTGATTGACTGGTCATTATTCGTTCTGTAGATGCAGAGTTCGACATTTGTTAATCATATTGAGCTGATAATAGGGATTTCAACTTTTTTTTGAAGTTCATCAGAGTATATATACTGTAATCATGCGGAAGTTGATTATAGAACTTACAGGCGTTGTACGTGAAAGATCGCTGAAAAATGGAGGTTTTATGTTTGTCATTGCCAGTAACCTCGAGTTACGTGCGTTATAATCACTCAGATTCCCAATTTTAATTAGTTTGTCATATAGATATGTTGGTGTTCTATATTTCAGTACTTTATGAGTCATATTTAATAGATGTACTTTTCTCATATCTAACAATTTCAGTTTTTGCATTTCCCGATATTTATGACTCATGTGCTCATATTTACGAATTCCGAAGGAAAGTCTAATACGAGAGTTCTGTATTTTTTGAAGTCGACTACTGTCACATACCCGAATTTTCAGAGCAGAACTCATGAATTGTTTACTTGGATAAATTTGTTTGAGTGTATTATATGAACCTCGGCAAAGTTGATTGACATGTTTTGTGAACCTCAATTCATTGTCTAACCAGAGTCCGAGATTTTTTGTTTCATTTTTTATGGGAATTTTTTCCCCACCCAAAATGATGTCGATTGAGGTACTGGCTAGATTAAGTTTGAGCTTCGGTCCGAAAAACAATGCACTGGACTTGCTCGCGTTCAACTTCAGATTATGTGCTGCAGATACATTTATCAAAGAATCCAGATCCGAATTTAAAGCAGCAGTAACATCGGGTTTCACTTCATTGAAAGATAAGTACAGCTGGGTATCGTCCGCCTAATGGTGTATGCGGCAGAATTTGATGAATGAATGAAAATATGAGATGTACAAAGAAAATAATAGTGGGCCATGGCTCAAAGCAAGAGTCTCTGAGGATTCAAGGTTATGAACCACTCTGTGTTCTTCCCTTCAGGTAACATTCCAATAGTTTCACTGAATCAGAGTGGAATCCAAAGAATTTTAATTTACTAATGAAAACTTCATGATCCGTGGTATCAAATGCCTTGCTGTAATCCAACAGGATCAGCCAAGTAACCTTTCCTTCATCAGTTGCCCTAAAAATATCATCGACAATATTTGTTAGAGCTGTGGTGGTGCTAAATCCTCCCCTGAAACCAGACTGAATCGGTGGTATAATATTATGTTTCATTACGTATTCAGTGATTTGATTGTATAAAATTTTTTCAAAAGCTTTAGCTAGAACTGGCAGAAGACTGATTGGTCTTAAATGGTTGATATTGGTAGGATTCGTTATTTTTGGTAAGGGGATCACAAGCGACAATTTCCAAGCCGTAGGGAATGTTGGGTTATTTATGCAATAATTGTATATGTATGTTATATACTCGATTAGAAAATTAGAGACCAAATTGAGCAATTTCACTTCGTCGTTTTCCACGGTACTAAACACAAAAGTGCCTTTCTGATTATGTAAATCTTGCTTATATTTACTGAGTAAGTCTGTCTGACCTTTGGTTTTAACAACGTTGGGAATAGTTGTTAGTGTTTATTTATTGTATTGACATCTATTAAATCATCTGGTAATGTTATGTCGGGTTTTTGATAAGTAGTCAATTGCCGCAGGGCCTTCCACAGCGTCTTTGGATTGTTTTGATGTGACACATAGTCGAGGTATGCTTTTTTCTCACGTATTATTGATTGTTATTGATTTTGTCGCAGTAGAACTGTTGATGATATAAAAATTGTTTTTATTATCAATGAATAAGAGATATCTCTACTTCATTATATTTTTTTCGGAAAAACAGCAATCAGAATTATAGAACCGCACATTCACATAGATATTTAATAGTGTGAAGAAAAAGGGAGTTCTATCTTCTGCCCTCTCTAAGAGCAATTTTTATGCAATGGCTACACAATTCACCAGACCTAAACCTACTAGATCACTTATTTGTAGTCTCAAAGAGGCATATTTACATGTAAAGGTATTAAAACAATAATACTTTAAAAACTACGGTAAGATGGGGCCATAAGACGGTTTGAGTTATTTAAAAACAGATTCAAAAATATATTATTATGTACTTATGAATGCAAAAGTTACTTAACATTCGTTTTTCTGTGTTTTTCCGTACTATGGGTCGCTAAAATTTAGTATATAGGTGTATATAGGTCTTGGATGCGCAGTAATAAAGGATTTTCAAAAATTACAACTGGGGCTCCCCTCGTGGGTGTCAAAGGGGCGCGTTTATATATGAAAATTACCTTTTCATAACTCTGTACTGCTATATTTAGGTTTGTTTTATGTTGTAGATGTGCAATAAGAAAGGATTTTTAAATATTCCAATTGGGGCGCCCTCCCCCCCAAGGATAAAAGGGGAGTGTTTACGTTTGAAAGTTATCTTTTCATTACTAATTCTTCATACCGCTATATTTTCGGAAGCTGAAATTTTGTATGTAGGTTCGTTTTACGTTGTAGATGTGCAATAAGAAAGGATTTTTAAATAATCTAAGTGGGGCGCCAGCCGTGTTTCTCCGTGCTCTTCAATTTCCGGTGAGTGAATTAATATTTAGTATCAGCATTGCACCCGTGCGGAGTCGGGACGGGGCGCTAGTGTAAAATAAAATTTATTCATTTTTCATTACTTCAGTTGGAAGCACAAAATCTCATTGGTTGTTACCCGAAGAGAAAAATTAATTATACTGTTTTGTTTGAAAATTTTATGTTTTACAGAAAAAAATATAATATGCAGGGGATTTTTTGAATTATTTATTACATTTTCAGTCACTAATAATTTTCGCCATAGTCATGATAAAAAACCAAACCAAAAAAAAAATAATTCACTATTTTTTTTGTGTGGGATATTTGATAATTATTCATATTATCTCCAATCTCTATCAGGTTTTAAAGTGGATTATTATGTTAGAAACATTTTTAAATCGTTGAAGGTGTCCTTGAAAATGTGGATTTCTGTATTTTGTTACTGACCATTCCAATTTGTGTATGACATTCGTTGGAAAATAAAGAATTTATTGTTTATTATTTCTCTCAAAAGTTGGGTCAACAGGTCTTTGATAAGATGTTACCACATGTTTAAAATATGTTTTTGATAAAATCTTCTTCAGTGTTTGAAATATATATACTCGTATTCGTTTTAATCCAAAGATGGATTCAAACAAATTATGAATATTTGTAAATTGTACTCTGGCTGATTGATATTTTTCAATAAATAACATTCATTATCAGGTACACTTCTTAATGTGACAATTACCAGGATAAATTCATTTTGTGTTACTGACAATTTTCAAGCGAAATCCTGAAATTTGCTAATTCTTGTTTTATGAAAATACAGTTATATAATTAGATAATGACCAATTTTATCATATTTCGTGATTTATCAAAAAATGTATAAAAATGGTCTACAAAATGATGAAGTTTTCCAAATTTCTCACATAATTTGTATAACTTCAACTTTATTTCAACTTTCCTAAGAAACATTGGCTGTTTATAATAGGGAAATTCAAAGATAAATTGTTGAATGTCAAATACTATTCATCTAATAAATATTTTTACAAATCCTCCCTAAAATGATCTGTGTATATCACGTCGATCTGAGTAGAATTTTCCAGACTTCTAAGTACGTCATGACTAAAAGATAAAAGATTTGTGGAAGTTGACTTTTTTGGGGCAAAGCCGTGCTGTTCTTCATTATATTCAGCTGTTAGTCCCAAAGTAAAATCAATTATCAAATAAATTTCTTATTTGTTTATGGATAGACTCTTTGAGATTTTTCTTCAAATTAGGAGCAGATTAATTACGATACTCTGAGGGCATATTCAGCAGATAAGTTACTAAATATGAAAAAGATGTCTCGAAAAATGAAGAACGACGGACATGAATAGAAAAAGTATAATTTATGTTCCTCAGTGATCTGTTTTGAATGTACTACTCCCTTCGAACTATTTTCGAGGTAAGGTACTTGGGTAGTCCAGTAGACAAGACCTTGTTGACAAGACAAGGGTAGTGACCAAAATCCATTCCATCCAATTTCAAAAGTTGCAATTCCCCAATTGGGGGTTGGTTATATGTGCTTGAGGAATACTGCTTTCATAAAACGAATTAATTGATTTTTGCTATTCTTAAGAGTTGAATACACTATTCATAGATACCCATCATACCCATGTTAGACAGCTAGGTTCAAGGATCGCCTCGGGTGGTTATGCACTACGCATCGTTGAAAATGAACTAGGTACAGCGACAGCAATGCAGGTTTATCATGCCTTGATCGAATCGCACATTCGATATGGAATCGCTTTCTGGGGAGTCTGTAATCAAGTACATTTTAACTCAATCTTTGTTCTTCAAAAACGTGCAATTCGCTATCTTTGTAAGGCGGCTCCCAGGGTATCATGTAAAGAACTATTCAAAACTTGTAAGTTGTTAACTCTGCCCTCATTGTTCATTCTCGAAACTGCCTGTCTAGTATATAAAAACAAAACACTTTACAAGTTCGCTGATGGAATCACCCGCCAGAGAAATGACATAAAACTTCCAATCCCAAAAACAAATTTCATAAAAAATTCATGCATATATAACGCTGCCAAAATATTCAATCATCTGCCAACAGAAATAAAACATTCTGAAATATATGCTGTGTTCAGAAAAAAATTGAAAACTTCTCTTCTGGATCTGGCTTTATATAGTATTACGGAATTTTTTGAGACAGTGTTCACTGACGTCTAACATCAGTTCAGTATGTTATATGTTATATGTGTTATTTAATTTATTTATCTTAATACTAGTTACAACCAATTGAAAATTAAATTAATTGATAGTCCTATATTTTATTGACAATATCATGTGAACCATGATATATCAAGTTTTATGAATGTCTACACTTTGTCGATAAGATTATTGTATCTTCAGACAATAAAGTATATTTATTATTATTATTATTATATTGAACTTGGATATTTCATTTCATATTCGTGCATGAATTTGTCAATGGATACATCGATTCTCCGGGGATAGTCGAGCTTTGTTCTGTGAATTGAGAAGAAACGAAAAGAATTTCAAAAATGTTTTCATGTAAAATTCAACGTTACCTTATGTGAATTTACATAATTTGCTGCAAGTATGTAAATTTACATTACTTGCTGCAAGGAGAGTATCATCAGCAACGAAATTAATTAATTTCCAGTCTTGAACATAATTGATGTCATTAGAATATAAAATAGTTGAAAAAGGACCTATTATTATTAGTTTAACAAATCAACTTGGTTCCAGGTATTGGCTACTGGTGGTTACGGCAGAGCTTACTTCTCGTGCACGTCCGCCCATACATGTACTGGCGATGGGACGGCCATGGTCGCCAGAGCGGGCCTACCGTCGCAGGACCTGGAGTTTGTCCAGTTTCACCCCACTGGCATCTACGGTGCAGGCTGCCTCATCACCGAGGGTTGCCGTGGTGAGGGAGGTTACCTGATCAATTCGGAAGGAGAACGGTTCATGGAAAGGTACGCTCCCGTTGCCAAAGATTTGGCATCCAGGGATGTCGTTTCCAGAAGTATGACAATTGAAATTAGAGAAGGTGAGTTTGGGGGTAATCCAGTCTGTTTCACTAATAGTATTAGTTTATTTTTGATAAAATATCCGGAATGGAGGATTTATAAAGATGTGCTATAAACATTCCTTATAAATAATACATGGGCTGTAAAGTCCGGGGGCCAAGGAAGAAAAAGCGTTTTTTTTCTCTTTAAATGGGGCCGTTTTTCCACGAGCTGGCCTTCAAACGATCCCATAACAATATGTAATAGTCGCTGTTCAAAAATCAGTGTAAAATAAAAACATGAAATCGTTTTCGATCTATTGTTTTGAAAATAACAAAAGTAGTGTCACTCTCAGCACAATAACTCACAAACGTATTGGTAGAATATTATGGAATTATTTTGACGGTTAGTACTAACCGTTAGAATAATTTAGATGCTCAATCAACGAACTTTCTTTTGAAGACAGATTACTGAAATCTAAAAATAACACTAAATTTCTAGGAGTCTTCATTGACCAGAATTTGAAATTTGTGGATCCTGTTAAACAACTCACTAGAAAAGTCTCCTCTGGCTGTTATGCGGTTAGAGTGATTTATAAAGAATTGGGGTTCAGCACTGCAAAGATGGCGTACTTTGCACTCATAGATTCTCACTTACGCTACGGAATACCGTTTTGGGGAGCATGCAGTCCAATTTTATTTAAAAGTTTACTAATTTTACAGAAAAGGGTAATAAGGTTTATAGGAAACTTCGAACCAAGAGACTCCTGTCGAACCTTCTTCAAAAAACATAATATTCTAATGGTAACTGCATTATTTATACTGGAATCTGTGTGTTTGATAAATGAGCATATTTTAAATTTTGCTTCATTCTCTTCCCACTGCAGACACACTCTGAAACTCACTGTGCCAACCAAAAACATTACCAGAGACTCCATATTTTACAACGGCAGAAAAATGTACAATTATTTGCCTATTGAAGGAAGTTAGTCAAACAATTTCTATCTGATAGACCCTATTATACTTTGGATGAATATTTTAACAATAGTTTTTAACTGACTTACACATATTTTTATCTTTACTTATAGGAGCTCTTAAGTTGTTACTTTTTATGTCTACTCTTTTACCTTAGCTACCTAATCCACTGTAGTTTTAGTGGTTTTATTAATGATTTTTTTGGATCTCTATATGTAATGTTGGATATAAGAATAAGCTGTTGTATGAGAAAGGAGATAATTTCAATTCATTTGTATTAGGTTGACTTGTTTTTATGTCAATGAAAAATGTATTGACAAGGTTACTTATTGTTGTTTTATCTGTAGTAGTATCACCATTGATTGTTAGTTCTAAAGTATCATCAATTTTTATTTTATTCCTATTTTCATTGATAATTTTCCAACTTTCCTTATTAATATTTCTTGCATTCATAATTCTGTTGTTGTATCCCTTTTTTGCCCGTTTTACTACTTCTGTATATAAGTTCTTCAGTTGTATATATTTTTGTTTGATAATTGCTATGTTAGAAAATTTAGCTAATTTGCACATGTCACATACCATTTGATGCAGTTCTTTGATTTCTTTTGATATCCAGGATTTGCCCCTTTTACGATTATAATTATTTGAGACTCTTCTTAGCGGAAACGCATTATGGTAATGATACTGATATGTTGTATAGAACGCATTGAAACATTTGTTCAAATCAGTTGTTATATGAAGACATCTTTCCAAGTTTCGTTTGCCAGCACAGTAATACAACGTCTCTCTTTCAACCCAAAATGTAAACTGAACTATATTATTATCTGAATGCAGTCACTTCAAAACAGAAAAGTACTTCCACCACACTGGCAAAAAATAATAGTTTGTAAGCAGACTGCAATTTGTAGTGAAATTTCAATAGGTTTTTATAAATTATGACGTCTTAATGATGGTAAAATATCTTTCAATTGATTACATACACGATTGCTACAAATGTTACATGAATTAAACTTTTAATAAATTTGTTTGTACATTGAGTCCATGTGCAAATAAGACGTCAAAATCATATCTCTTGTCAATGCTGAAAACCTTGGCAACCTTATATGACGCCAGAATGTTTCCTTATGGAATGATTTTTTGTACAGAAGTCAAAATTCACCTTTGAGTGATATATATTAATATACATAAAGTATGAGATAAAAACATGCTGACAACAGTGTGGGGTCTAAAAAAAATCGCTGAATCTATATACACGGTTAATTTTGTTTATGGAATTTTTTTGGAAAAGTTGGTAGCTCATTGTAAATCTCAATAAATGTTTTTTCTCATTTTCATTACTTTTGACAGTCAGATTTGAATGTTTGGGTTTTTTTGCCAAATGAATGAAGATACATAATTTGAATTTGTTAGGATGACAGATCTAATTTTTTTCTGCTTTATACAAGTTGATTGCCTGCTTGTTGAAGTTTAAGGTATTTTAATGGTACAAGATTCCTTAGTTTGAATTAAATTACAATTGAAGTAGTTATTTTCTTTTTATTATTTACCATTTACTCAGCAGTGGTACTAATTCTGATTTCTTCTGGTTTGGTAGACTTTAGATACACTGATGGTTATTTTGATTGAAATGCAAGACCATTTTGGGTAGTAATACAAGATGATAAATCTGTACCAAGAGTAACAAAATAATTGTTGAAACTTTCACAAATATCTTGTAGATTTTCAATTTCCATCCATCTTCTTATTATATAGAACTTCGTTCGTTTAACTGGTACTGATTGAGTAATTTGTTCAGGTCGTGGATGCGGTCCTGAAAAAGATCATGTGTATCTCCAGCTTCACCACTTACCCGCTGAACAGCTGCACACAAGGTTACCAGGCATTTCAGAAACTGCAATGATATTTGCCGGAGTTGACGTCACTAGGGAGCCTATTCCTGTCTTGCCGACAGTTCATTATAATATGGGAGGTGTTCCGACTAATTATAAGGGACAGGTAAGTAAATTAGACGAAATAAAATGAATACAGTAAATAAAAGTGGAGGAAAAAATAAAGTATGATGAAAGAGATAACATGTTTCTTGAATACGTGATTCCATCACATATATAGAAGAGAAAAAAAAAAGTAATATACGAGGATAAATAACACTGTTGAGGAAATTTAGAAAGACAGTTGATTGGGATGGTAAGAGACAAGATAGAAATATGTGAGATGGGTAAGAATTAAAAAAGATTGAAATATAAAAGAGAATTGAATGATTTCCAAAAGTAGTAGAGGAGAAAGTAATTTTGAAACAGAATGAGGGAAGATTTTGAATAATCTTGAGTTGGGAGAGTGGGAAATGGTTTGAGGGCAATTTTGAGAAGTATGGGAACATTTAAAAAAAAATTAATAAAGGCCTAGGGGAAACTAAAGAAGATCGAGTGAAGGAAAGTATAAATGGAAATGGAGGAATAAAGAAAATAATAAAAGGGAACGGTGAATGTTCTGGATGTGAGATAGAAGAGAGGAGAGAAAGATAGTGAAAATAGAAAAGTGAATAAAGTGAGGAAGAAAAATGAATGAAAGTAGAAGAAGTAAAAGAGGAAAGAGCATCAGACACTGTTGAAGAAATTCAGGAAGAAAAAAATTGAGTTAATAAGAGACAATAAGACAAGAAAGATAAAAGAGGAAGAAATGATTTCAAAAGGGAATAGGGGACAAAATAAATGAGGAAAGAATCTATATAATTTTGAGAGAGAAAGAGAGAGATTAGGAATGCTTTGAGGGTGATTATGACATCTATGAGGGTAATATTGAGTAAAAGTCCAAAGAAGGGGCAATGAAGTAAAGGCAAAAATGGAGATGAAAGAATAAAAAAAATTAAAAAGGTGAAGAGCATAAAGAAACCAAGATGCATGTGAGGGAGAAAGGGGAACGAAAGTTTGAGAAATGAAAGAGGGAAGATGAAAGAAACAAATTGGAAAGATATCTCAGTTACATGATAGAGGAAAAAAGAGCGGAAGGAACAGAGAAATTTATCATAAAGATAAAATCTTCATATTGGAAGAATAGAGAAAGAATTGAAATTGAGATGATAAAGATTGAAAAAAGAAAGAAGAATTATTATGCAGTATAAACTCACAATTAACAGTTTTAAATATATTTATCATGCATTTTCATCAAAGTATGGCAAAGTCTATAAAAACACCTAAATTTATAAATATGATTGAAAGATGACATAGAATAATCGATGAAGAATTGAAAAGAAAGTAAAGTGAAATGGGAGACCAGAAATGAAATAGTAGTAGTAGAGAATGAATAACAATAACATTGAATGAGGGTCAAAATATATGTATTAAAAGAATTTAGGTAACTAGAAAATTGAGAAAAGGAAATGAATGAAAATGACAAAAGAGTTTGGAATGACGACAGTGAAGACAGAGAGGAGTACAGATATTAATTTTTAAAATTATTTTGAAATTATTAAAATTTTTGATATTAATAATGGTTAATACAAGAACTGAACTGGATGAATGAAAACAACTGATATGACTTTCAACCAGTAATTTAATGAAATGAAGAGCTGAACATTTTTGGTATTTAGGTATCTGAGTTTTGAAACAAAAAGTAACATTTTACTTCACTTTCTGCAAATTAGAAATGCTAGTAATTGAATATCAGGCTGGAAAGAGAAAAATAAGATATAGACGTTGAATTTTTCATTTTAGGTTTTGACTACCGTGAACGATGAAGACAAAGTCGTTCCTGGATTGTATGCTTGTGGTGAAGCGGCATCCTCTTCGGTTCACGGAGCCAATCGATTAGGTGCCAACTCCTTGCTGGATTTAGTTGTGTTCGGTAGAGCATGTGCCCTCACCATTGCTGAGGAGAACAAGCCTGGTGAAGCGATTGGAAGTATAAAAGAGGTGAGTAGCGATTCATTTTAAATTCAAATATAATATAAGGTAGCAACAAGTTCTAATTTCAATTTCATATCCTACAGTATCTTATGCTGTATATAGTTGTGTGCTGCATAAACATTCCGCAGCCTCCTATTTTATATTTTACATTTTTAGATTGATACTTATTTTCTGTGAAATTTTTACATTGTAATGGAGTATAAATAAATACTTTTTTCATAATACGCTTCAAACATATGGAATGTACTTTGCATGGCGCTGTGACGAAACAATGACCTTGGGAGACTGTCTTGAACAGTTCTTTACACCTCCCACCAGTGAGCTAGTCTATTTTTAGCCTTGTCAGTGTTAGAGAACAGTCTTTCTTAGTTGCGTGTTGCGGATCCTATTGCATACATAATTTTTATTTTAATTATTATGTGTGACTTGTAGAGTGTCTTATTTAAGCGACGAAACTGATGCTGTGGAATTGTTGGATCTTGATAAAAATGACGGGCTATGAAATTCTGGATGATAACGACATCGTAACTCTTTCAATGCAAAAGCCAGAAAATCAAAAAAGCAGTGACAGCAAAAAAGACGCAGCAGACGACGCAGTATCTTCACATTCTGAAGCTTTGTAACTTTTTTTTTTATTAAAAGGTACACTTGCACGGAGCTCTTAGTCAGGAAGCTTCTTTGGGTCGTGAATAGGAGGAAACTAAAAAATTTGATGTTGAATCGGGCGTCACCGGATTTAAAACAGTAGTATTTCAGAATTTTGCCAACCACGGAAAACAAAATTCATATTATATGACTATCCAGTGACTACATAAAATATTCCACTATCTCTGTTGAAAAACGAAAACAACATTAAAATAAAATATCATTTAATAATTCGAACATTCAAATAATCAAATGTTTAGGAGAATCTAAGTTAGATGTGATCAACATTTATATTATATAACTCGCCTGTTCATAGTACTATGTTCAGCGTAACAAGTGTGAGTCTTCTAATGACTCGCTGTAAAAAAATTAAGATTGATTCTTCAAAGTAATTATTTTAAATGAATTGCATGTGATAAATATATCAGTGCCAATAATTTTTCATTATCAGTTACGGAGGAGAAAATAATAATATCATCTAATAATCGGTAATCAAATGAAAAAATAATGAATCAGGAAATATCGAAAATCTGGCCTTAATTTCCCTCGATGTATGATGGTGCTTAGAGTTCTTGGTAATGTCCTATAGAGATGACGACAACTTGTAGCAGTGCTCTTATAAAAAATGTTCCACTGTTACATGAATATGGAGTAGAGGAGTTCTCAGGAAATGTTGAAATATGATTCTGCCAATTAGGTAATCCGGCTGACGAAGATGATTCGGATACTGGAGTCGATCAAACTTATTATATAACAAATTCTGAAGTCGGAAGCTTTTCTCAGCTGGCTGAGTTGGTACTCTCCAGAAGAAACCCTATGAGAGAATTAGGAATAAATTTTCACGTGATTGGGAATAAAACCTACTATTAAATGATCTACAAAGTGATGAAAAAGCAATAGCCATACAGCATAACAAATCCAATTAAGAAATAATGCATAAACGCAATTTGCTGAGGCAGAGAGAGGCAAAGCCGCTTATCATATCACATCACCTTGGTAACTATCCACAATATTCAAAAATATTTTCAGAGGACAGAAACGGAGTTTGGGATTCGGAAGAGTGAAGTCGTGTGCCATCTAATAGAGACAGGTAGAACTTGGAATGTTCTAGGTATAGACAACATTATAATTGATAAATATTAGGTTCGAATTCATTGTTGGCTGGTGGCACCTATCCGTAGAGAACATCACTAGGACAGTACGAAATGAATTGATCGTGATCGAATATGACATGTATACAGGTAATTTCATAAAATAGTTTGCGTTATACTCTGAACAAAAAAACGTTACAGCTTTTACATCATTAAAGACAATGATGTCTTGGTAAAGAGTGCAGTCTGAATGCAGTCAAGCTCAGCTCCTGCTTATATTAATTTTTTTGTGTATATATACCTACATTTGTAAATATGTATGTAGTGAATTTTTTTTGAAAAAAGGGGCATTTTTCCGAATTTTAAGATGAAAATGATTCAAAGTACAATATGTATGTACATATGTAAGTACATACAGTTTTTATTTTTATTTATTCTGTTATTTTTAGCTCAACTAGGAATTTCTAGGTTATGTTTGAAAACCCAAACAAATTGGAAATCTGAATCCTCTGTAAGTCTCAAATAGTTTGAATTTTTGACACTCTAGTGTACTAAAAAAACCTTAAAGACATAGGAAAATAGATGTTGCCCAAATTGATATTTTATCATAGAATGATGGGTTAGAAATTAACACAGAAGTGAAATATTTAGAACTATTTTGGACAATTTCAAGCACAAATTTTATTATTTCGGACTTCCATTTGTCTAATTTGAAATTCCTGAAAGAATCAATAAAATTGAAACAAATAGCTGAAAATAATAATTATGTTAGGCAAAAAACCCTGAAAGGAAATTGCAATAAAATGAAATACAAGCAACAATTGAAAACTGAAGGGTTAAAAATAAATAAAAATTACAAGATTTCAGGTCAGGTTACTTCACGATGTTTCGATTGTTAGTATCCACAATAGTCTTCAGGTGATGACTGCATTTTATTTTAATGTAATTTCATTTCAGGTTTTTTTTTGCTCAATATGATTGTTATGTTCAGCTATTAATTATAATTTTATCGATTCTTTCAGAGATTTCAAATCATTTTACATCATATTCGAGTCATATTTATCAAATCCTAAACAAAGAACGAAAGTTATAAAAAGTGGACAGATATTTAAGTCTGATATCAGGGAAAATTCATAGGCATTTCAATGGGAAGTGTAGCAGGTCCTATTCTATTAGTGATTTTCATGAAAGACATCTTAGATATTTTAAATAACGAGGGGGCTACTATTACTTATTATGTCGATGACACAGATTTACTAGTTCCTAACTGCAACTATCGAAATTCAATTACCAAATCATCCCATTCAGTTGAAAAAATACAGCACTGATTTTCTAAAAATGGCCTTATTCTTAACACCGACAAAACCCAGGTAATTCTATTTAGAACCCTTCAACAAAGGATTGAGTCACCAACAACTCTTCATTTAGCAAATAATCAAATGAAAGTACAAACCTCAACAAAATCTTTAAGTATACACATCAATGAGCATCTTCACTGGCATACCCACATTATAAATTTAGAAAAAAAGTTGAATCAAATCTGCTACAGTATAAGGATTATTAGTAGTTATCTTAACAAAAAAAAAAAAAAAGTAGTTATCTTAACAAAAAAAAAAAAAGTCATATATGCAGCAAATTTTGAGTCTTCCGCAAAATTTGCTACACTATTCTGGGGATCTTGTAGTGGCATATCAAATATATTTGGAATTACTATGTTCAAACTGAAATACCACCAATCTTGTTGGGGCAAATTCAGAGGTAATTATATAATGACATTACAGGCACTGTACATTTATTTATATGTAGTGTACTTATTCAAACATAAAAATAAGTTCTTGGAAGCGGGATCAAATCATACTTACCCATTGCGGAATGCAAATATGTTTCCCTATTCATCGACTAACACTAACCGAAAAGCATCCTTTATATGTATCAATTGAGTTTTTCAATAAATTACTATAAAATATCGAATCCGGTGAGAGCGTTAAAACTTTTCTTATAGACTTGGAACTATATTCAATTCAGGAGTATATGGATTGCTGTTAACTTCGATTTATATTAAGATGTTTTTATTCCTACTTTATACTGATGGTTTTTCTTTTTAATTAAATTGAAGCATACCCTGAATTATTATTATTATTAGACAATGGAAGTCCAAACTAATGAAATTCACCATTAAACATTGTCAACCACCTTCAAACAAATTTCAAGAACAATTTAATTGTAAAAGAAAACGTTGTGAACAAGTTATTCTTTTTTTACAAGTATCACATCATTTAAGTCTTGAAGCTTGGCAGAAGCCATCAATTTTTCATTCTCGAGCGGAATATTTCCAAAATGTTTGAAGTTCGCAATAATTAACCCCTTATCTAAAGGAGGAGATTGTGAGTTGGTTACAAACCTTAGACCCATTTCACTTTTGCCAACTCTTGCAAAGCTTATAGAAAAATTGGTGAAGAAAAGAATGATCTAATTTCTCAATACTAACCACTCACTTAGTAATTGCCAATTTGGTCAATTTGGTTTTCAAGAATCAAGGAACACCAATGATGCTATGTTCTCAGTTCTAGAAAAAATATATTTCAGTATCAATGAGGGTGAAGTTGTTGCTGCTGTGTTTTGTGACCTTGCTAAGGCATTCGACTGCGTAAATCACAAAATTATCTTGAATAAATTGGAAATGTATGGTTTCAGAGATGTAGCGTTGAAATGGTTTCATTCTTATTTATCAGATCGCACCCAGTCTGTATTAGTTAATAATAAGAGATCTGAACCTCTGTTGGTATCTTGTGGGGTTCCGCAAGGTTCAGTACTCGGTCCACTACTGTTCCTGCTCTTCATAAATGACTTATCTCTCATCAATACGAAAGGAAAAATAACTCTATTTGCTGATGATACTACTATTGTTTGGCACTCAAAAGACAATACTGAACTATATAATAATATATCGGTTGATCTAGACATCGTTAAAAAGTGGTGTGATGCTAACAGACTGGCATTCAATACCACAAAAACCTGCATACTAACCTTTAAATGTATATTAAATAAAATTTTTCTAGGGAATACTTTGATTAGCTCCGTCTCATCAAGTAAATTCTTGGGTTTGCATGTAGATAATAATCTATCCTTTGATATCCACATCTCTAATCTATGTAATAGGATGGCTTCGGGATGCTATGTTTTAAGGGTTATTACCAGAGAACTCAACTTGCAAGCTGCAAGAACAGTCTATTTTGCGGTAATAGAATCCCGCCTAAGATATGGAATTTGCTTCAGAGGTAATGCTTCTCAGTTCTTGTTACAGTCTGTGTTTATCTTACAAAAGAGAGCGGTTAGATATATTTGTAAGGCAAAACCGAGAGATTGCTGTAAACCCCTGTTTATTGATAAAAAAATCTTGACTCTGACATGCATTTTTATCCTTGAAAGTGTGTGTATGATGCACAAAAAATTTAATACTACCAGTGATTCAACAAACTCTTATAATACTAGGCATAATAGCCACTTAATAGCACTACCCATTCCTAAAAGCGCATTAATAAAAAAATGCATAATATACAATGCAAGGAAAATGTTCAATCATTTGCCAGTATATCTTCGCTCCACTTCTTCATATAAAAATTTTCGAAGTGCTGTAAAATGTTTTTTGCTAAATAAAGCTTTTTATACTTTAGACGAATATTATAATGAAGATTTTGACTAACGTTGCAATCACTTGTATACGCACTTTATATTATTTTAAGGTGTTTATTTAATTTTGAATTGATCCCTTTGTGTTGCATATGTATATGTGTGTGTGTGTGTATATAGATATATGTGTACATACATAAATGTATTTCTAAACTTTGTTAACAAGAATTCTGTTCTTTGGACAATAAAGTTCTTTCTCTCTCTCTCTCTCTCTCTCTCTCTCTCTATATGGCTTTACGGGGTATGTTGTTATTTGTGAGATTAGCACGCACAAAAGCACAGACAGACAAAAATTCTAAAAACCATTGTTTCAGTTTCTAATGTGTTAATAAAAACTCTCAAATAATAGTTTTTCTCAAATAACTTCCATGTAAAGATGAATTGATATTTTATTTATATATGCAGTAATTTCAAAGTATATTTTTTAGTAAAGTTGAGGATTTTCTATTGGAAATAAACTATCTATCTTTTACAGAATGCCGGTGAGGAATCTGTGGCCAACTTGGACTGGTGCAGGTTCGCCAAAGGGGCCATCCCGACTGCCGACCTGAGGTTGCAAATGCAGAAAACCATGCAGACGCACGCAGCTGTGTTCAGGACAGAAGACACGCTCAAGGAAGGCGTCATCAAAATGAGCGACATCTACGGAAAACTCAAGGATATCCGCGTGGCCGACAGCAGCTTGATATGGAATTCCGATCTGGTAGAAACTTTGGAGTTGCAAAATTTGATGTTGAACGCTTGTCAGACAATCGTGGCTGCTGAGAATCGCAAGGAATCCAGAGGAGCGCACGCTAGGGAGGATTACAAGACGAGGATCGATGAGTATGACTATAGCAAACCTTTGGAGGGGCAACAAAAGGTTAGTGACAATAATGATTTATTATTATAACTGTGCTCTGAAATACAAAAAATAATTGGGAGAATCTGTGTGATACAGTCTGTGTACAAACAAAAAATGGCCCAATCAAAGGAAGATTATCTATTACAATAAACAATGGGTCTCTCAATTTGCAATAAACACAACAAAAAATGTTATTATCATGAAAGCATACTATAAATTGAGAATATTCATTTATTTATTCACGGTTTCAAAACTAATTCAATCAATACAATAAAAAAATCAAAATAAACCAATGAAAGGCATAATACAACAATTAAATTCAGTAGAAAAAGTAGAAAACTAATAACTTAATGGGGAATGTTCCTCAATTTGGGTTATCACAGCAAATGCAAGTTTGAACAAAATAAAGTTGAGTTTAATTCATGAGTTTTTCAAATTCACTTCGAAAAGTATTCAAATTGATGTTTCAAATGTTGGGCTTTAATTTTTAAAGGGATTTGTTTCTAATTCACATATTGGCAGCAGCACCTATATCAAGTTGAAATAATTTATACCTACCTAGATATTCTACTTTAAAAAAGGAAAATTATCTTTATAAATCAACAATTAAGGCAAAATATAAATTATAGTTCAATACCACCTCCACAAGCCACATAAACAACAGTTGTTTTGTTATTTATTTATATAGAGGAAGATAGGTTAGGTGCACAAAATGTCATATGTCACAGAATATCTCGAAACTCGGAACATAAGTAAACAGAACAGCACGCCTCTGAAATATGTCATCTTTGTTTATCTCATGCAGGTAACAGATTCATTGTCTTTTATTAGCTATAACCGATGTTGCCAAATGGTGAAATAGAAATGAATCCCTTTAAACGTTGAATGCATTATTTCGTTCCTCTTTTTCAAGTATTTAAATAATAAAAAAAAAAGGTTGAAATGATAAGTTTAAAAGTTGAAATGATCATCACAAATAAAAGAGGTGATCTTGATAACTCTTTGGAATCATGTTATGTTGCTTCGAACCAAATCTTTTATTTATTTATTTATTCAACGGTAAAGCAAATTTACAAAAACATATTTAACAAAGTGTGAGGAACTGCAAAGTATTTTTGAATGCTCATGTCTGATGTCTACATTACAATTTACAATTTTACAAAACATTTAGCAAAGTGTGAAATACAAAATATTAATAAACCCTTATGTCTAGTGACTATATTACTAAAATATGAAACAATTCTGGTACTTACAAGAAAAAAGATGTAACAAATCTGGTACTTGCAAAGAAAATTGTAAGGTAAAGAAAAGCTTCGAAAATGATATGGCCTTTTCAATTGATTTTTGAAGACCTGAAGTGATAAGTTGAACAGATCTAAGCTATTATGATATTGATTTCCTAGCTTCAGAATACGAGGAATCGGACTATTCAAAGCATAATTGGTATGGAAAAAATGTATATGAAAAATGTCAGGATTTCTCGTATCTTTTTGTTTGATATGAAAAGTTATTAGTTGAAGTAGTTCTGGGCAGGTTAATCTCACTATTTATTACTTTGAAGAGGAAACTCAAGTTCATAGAAATTCTCCTATCTTCCAATGATTTTATATTTAACTTGGTTAAGAGTTGACTGTATTCATATTCATTTCATTGAATACCAAAGTGAAAAGCAATATTTTTTAAGGATTGTTTTTTGAACATTCCCAATCAAATCGATATTTACATTATAGTAGGGGTCCCATATAACCGAACAATATTCAAGAATGGATCTTACGAAAGCACAATATAAAATCTTTTTTGTTTTAATTGAAAAATAAATAGAAATTCTCAACACAAAACCCAGCATTTTGAGACTGTTTGCCACAATTTCTGATACTTCTAGTTGAAATTAATTTCGCTATCAAATTTAACTCCCAGATCGCGAATAAATGTTTCTCTTTTAAGAGCTATATTATTCAATGTATATTCGAAGAATATTGGACTTCTAATTTTAGCAAACGTAATGATTTGACACTTATCAATGTTTACCTTCAACAAATTATTTCTACACCACATGGAAAAGGGTTCGAGATCTTTTTGAACTAATTCAGAATCTTCCTTGCAAGTAATTGCTCGATAAAGTTTGAGATCATCAGCAAACATAAGAAATTCTGAATATTTGAAAACAAACTCTATGTCCGATACAAACAAGTTGAACAGGAGTGGGCCCATATGGGATCCCTGCGGTACTCCTGATGTCTTTTTGTCGTATAAGTCAACATTAAATTTTTTTAAAAGAGAAATGAAAATGTCTTTGTTTTTTACCACTTTTAATTGTAACTAACGTTACTGCAGTTTCGTACTATATGGACATTCAATAAAAGAGTTTATTGTATTAGTTTGAAAATGTCCATATAGGAGCAAACCGCAGTAACGTTAGTTACAATCAAAAGTGGTAAAAAACTTTCATTTCTCTTTTCATTATGATCTCCTACCACGTAGTAACGGCTACGTCCATCAATTTAATACATTTTTTATGTATCGTGATCTCATTATCTTTAGGTATATTTATTCTAAAGAAGTGCCACACCATTAAATTTCTAGGTGTAACTACACTTGATTGGGAATCGCACATAAGTGAAACAATAAAAAAATTTAACAGTAAGCTTTACCAGATCAGATGTCTTCAGAGAGTAGTGAATATAAATGTACTAAGAAACTATTATTTTGGGGAAATATGTTATGGGGAATGTCGTCTTCAGCACAAAAACTATTCCTGGTACAAAAAAATGCATACGTGCAATGTTAACTAAAAATCAGAGAGAATCACCTCTTTTTGAAAAATTGAATATAACTCTCACTTTTCTGCTTATATATATATTGGAAGTTTCCTGTTATATACATAAAAACAGAAACAAAATTCCCTGTCATAATGACATCCACAATTACCCAACAAGATTCAGTCATCATCTTTACACACCACAACGTCAGTTGAGTATATGCCTGTATGGCCCTATCTCCAATGGAGTTAGGGTTTACAACTACTTATTGACAAAAATTGATCAGGAGGTATCTTACTTCAAATTCAGAAAAACGCTGAAAACATACTTACTGGATAACTTGTATTATATAATGGGCGAGTTCTTATATTCGAAGTGAACTCTGTTTGCCCCTAAGAGCATTTCAAAGTACATGTATTGTTTGCCTTATTCATGTTCAATTTTCTTTTGACTTGTTTTATACAGAGTAAACACAGTGAAAGTAAACTATTGAGAAAGTATACAACCAATAATATAGAAACACTAAAGTCATATCTGCGAAAAGAAGATTGGTCCAGTGTATATACAAGTCATGATGCTAAAGAAAAATTCATTAACTCTGAATGTATTTTTATTATGTTATGTTTTATTATAACATTAGCTTTCCACTCACTAAAGTAAGATTTGAATCAAAGAGAGCATCAAAATGGATAAGTCTTGAGGTTACAGCCTCAAAAGATATTTAAATGCTTGCATATAATATATAAAGGCAAAATCCTTCTGAACAACATAAAAACATATATAAAACTTATAAACAACAATATCAAGAGTCACTATTGGAGGCTATAAAAGCACATTGCCACAGTATATTAAGCAAAACAGATAATTACAGAAAAACTATGTGGCAAATCATTAACTCCGAAACAGGTCGTAAAAACAAAATCTTAAATGAACCAGAAAATCTAACAGGTAACCAGATGAATGACTTCTTCATCAATAACATAAACACAACTCTATTGCACTACCCAAAATCTGATGTTGACCCTATTGCTTTTACGGATGAAAAAATGAACACAAATAAGTCGATGTTCTTTAGGCCTGTAATGACAGATGAGGTGGGAATAATCATAACTAAGTTAAAAAATAAAAAAACTGTAAAAATAAACGGTGTGAATTTTTTAGTCATAAAGAGTTCCATTGAATGTATAACTCAACCTTTAACAGATGTTATCAATACTTGTCTAAGTGAAAGCTACTTACTTCCCTCAGCAATTAAAAATTGGTAGAATCTTGCCAATTCATAAAAAAGGCATTACATCCGAACCAAAAAATTTTCAACAGATAGCAGTACTGCCAACCTTTTTAAAGATTTTCGAACACATAATTTACGAACATCTAGTAAATTTGGATTTCGGAAAGGAAAATCGACGTCTGATGCAATACACTTTCTCACAAATAGTATAAAAGACGCCTTTGCTAACCAAGAAAATTATGTGAGCGTTTTTACAGACCTTACTTCAGCATTCGATTCTGTAAATGTAAATGACTATTGGCCAAATTAGATTTCTTCTAAGTGAGAGATGTTTGCTTGGACATGAAGTCATACCTTAACGAAAGATATCAAATTGTTGATCTAGGAAAAACCAAAAGTGAAAAAAGAAAAATATTAAGAAGAGTGCCACAAGGGTCAATATTGGGGCCACTTCTGTTTCTAATCTATATCAACGACCTGCCTCATGTGATGAACTCGTCAGACTTATAGAAACTATATTGTATGCAGATGATGCAACCCTGAGCAAAAAAAAATAGGTAAAATAGATGATCTTCATATGATTCATACTGACATATTAGAGAAAGCTCGATCATGGTTCACACCAAATGACTTGATTCTCAATGAACAAAAAACAGAAACTCTAACTTTTGAAACAATTTGCTTAAATCGAGATAACAAATAGGAGTACAAATAGATTCCAACCTGATATGGATAGACCATATAAATAGCATATGTTGTAAACTTAGCAAGACAGTTTTTGCTATCAGAAGAATTAAAAAAATAGTAAATCAAAGTCCGGCACTTGCAATATATCATTCACTTTTTCATTCAGTCCTTAGGTATGGTATAATCAATTGGAATAATGCATCAAAGGTACATCTTAATAGAATATTTGTCATTCAAAAATCTGCAGTAAGAAGCATAATCTCTGCCAATTATGATGAAAAGTGTCGACCAATATTTGTAAAACTTAAAATAATGACCATATACTCAGTTATTGTCTATGAAAATCTGCTTCTTGTTCAACAAAACTTTATGAATAAAGTTGCTCACAAGGATATACACCAACATGATACACGAAATAAATCAAACCTTGTTCCTACAGCTAATAGATTGAAAAGAACAAATAATATAGGAATTAAGCTATATAATGCCTTATCTGTCGAATTTCGTAACTTTCCATTCAGAAGATTCAAAAACTTATTGACGAAAATATTAACCAAACATCCTTTATATGAAATTGATAAATTTTTCGAAGTTATTCAAGAAGAAAGAGACACTTGTGGTCACCTCCCGAACTTTTACTCAACTTTGATTATATATAATATGTTAGATATGTGATTTATAATTTGTAAAGCTAATGGCTTTAAATTTTAGTCAATTTTTATACAATTTCATACGTCTTGTTAACTTGTATTTTTTTGTAACTCTAATTTATCTACAAGCATTTTTTAGAAACTATATTGACGAATCTTATCCTCTCAAACCTATTTTAGAAAATGTATTGACATGTCTAAAAACTGTGTGTTTCTCGAGACTAATAAAATTATCATTATTAACATAATTACCTTTAGGGTCTTTGAAACCAATAAAGATTATTTGTATTATTTGGAAATTTTTCCAGAAACCTCTGAAGGATCACTGGAGAAAGCACACATTGACGACAATTGACGAGAAAACGGGAAAAGTCTCCATCACTTACAGAGCAGTCATCGACGAAACATTGGATAAAAAAGAATGCTCAACGGTGCCTCCAGCAATAAGATCGTATTAATATTATTGCTATTTGTTGATTAGGTGGATTCGACAATGCCAATTATTATTTCGCATCTCCCTACATATACAAGTTCCACAGTAATCATCAGCGGGTCAAAAGTAGTCAATATACCAAATAATAAAACACAGAAATCTGTATCGGTTGTTATATCTTGTAATATTTATGTACTTACTAAGTGCTTGCTTACCTGATTTGGGATATTTGCGCTGTGTATCGAAATTGGCTTTTGTTTTGATCCTTACGTCCTGGAAAACCACCCAATCAAAAACTTTTTCAAAATTATGCTTACTCATAACTCAATGTACTTTTCGAACGGTAGTATTAATTTTTTTTTTTTTTGAACTGCTTCTTTTCATGAAAGTATTGCACAATGCTGTAGTAGGAGTAATTTATTTGAAATTTAGGCTTAAGAGTATTTTGAGTTTTATTCAAGAGTATTTTATATTGTGAAATGATGTTTTATGGTTGTTACCAGTTATTGTTTTAAATAAAGTATTTTAAGCAATTGCTCAGGTTGTTTTCCTGACTGATAGTGTATTTAAATTTGTTCTGGAATGAAGTCTTCTGATCCTTCTGAGAAATTTGAAGAAGTCAAAATTGTTGCATTTCCAACAGTAGTCTAATCAATCTAGATTCTATGAACACAAAAGGTCAGGTGTTATGTTTCTAAATTTTAATTGACGTCTTGTCACCCCAATAGTGGGAAACTATGCGAATCCAACAAAATTTTCATTGGGACAACTTTTGGGAGTATAAAACCTCGAAATTTTCGTGATTTTTTGCTTATACCTAAAGTCTATCCAAATCCAAGATAGAGTAAAACAAAACAAAAACGAAGCGTGATGTTCACGTGATCCCCCAGTGTCAGATGGAAAGGGCAGCGTTCATTGGTGAATTCGCCTTCTTGGTACGAGTTCGGTACCAGCACAGGGTTGTAATCAGTCGTTTGCGTGTTTGTGTGGCGTGTGTTATAGTATATTGTTTAAAATTGTTTTCCAAGATGTCCAGTACAGACACTGCTGATGACACTGTGAGCTATCCTCTGAGTCCAGCCAGGAAACGAACCAAAAAAAAGACATTTGAGTGTTGAGATGAAAGAAGTGATTTTAAATGTGTTCAAGAAAGAGATGGAAGAAATTGAGACGTCGACGAAGTCATATCGAAAGTTTCCGATAAAATTGGAGTGTGTTGCGCTTCGATTTACAATGTTTTACGGAATATAAACAAAATCATACATTTTCCAAACCGAATACAAATCAGAATAGTCAAACCATTATAAAATCAATAGATGATGCTGATAAACATGCAATCAGGAGGAAAGTGCATGAGTACTTTTTCAGAAATGAAATACCCACGATAGACAAAGTACTCACAGAAATAAATGAAGATGTTTTATTGCCAAGTTTCAAGCGGTCAATTCCATAAAGTATTGAAACATTTGAATTTTGTATGGAAAAAACGAGAGCGCAATAGTTTATTATTGGATAGAGAGGAAATTGTGTTATGGAGGAGAGAGTATTTGACCAAAATTAAATATAGGGAACAACAGAGAACAATTTATTATATGGATGAAACCTGGGTTGATGCTGGTCATACTACCCCTAAAATATGGGTCGATGAAACTGTAACCTCATCTAGGAGGGCCTTTCTAGATGGACTATCCACCGGATTAACAAATCCATCAGGTAAACTTATATTTATATTAAGACCTGCCTCAATCTCAATATATAAAAAGTAACCCTCGTATTTGTTTCATTTACTTACATACCTCTTCATAATTCCAAGTAAAGGAAAACGGCTTATTATTTGTCACATCAGCAATGAGAATGGGTTTGTTGCTGAAGGGCTGTGGTGTTTCGAGTCGAAGAAAACTGGAGATTATCACGAAGAAATGAACGGTGAATCTTTCGAACAGTAGTTTTCCAAAGTTCTACCCTATCTGGAGGATAATGCTGTGATTGTAATGGACAATGCACCTTATCAGAAGATACGTCATATAGAAAATATAAAATATATACATACAGTACATAAGAAAAAATCTCACACTACAACAGTTACGACTCACATTTGGACATTAACAATAAAACTACACATATACAGGGTGTTTATTACACATGTGGCAAAAAACTAAGGGACTATTCGTTGGAATATTCTTAGGATATTTTGTCCATTGATGATTTTTGATATGGCGCTTTGTTTCGAAGATACGGGGCCAAAAAGAATTTCGACAATAATTTTGGCAATTTCAAAATTATTAACGTAGCCGAAATAAGAGTATAGCGTACTACACTGGACCTACCAAGTAATAAAAAATCTAACAATTCCGTTGGTATCTATCAACAACATTCCGATTACTACAAAAAGCTGCAGACAGTCTATTTGAATAGTATGTCTTGAAAGTGATCATTTGTATGTGTCGAAACTGATTGACTTTGTCTATTTGACGTGCATTTTCTGTGTTTAATATTTAAAGTCTTGTTAGTGAAGTCCTCTATCATGAATGGCTATAGTAACACAGAGATGGCTGACATGCATTGCTCATGGCAATTCATTGGTAGCTAGGCGGTTGTACAATGAACGATTTCCTAATCGTAACGTGCTTGATAAAAAAACCTTCCAAAGTATACATCAACGACTTAGTGAAACAGGAGCATTGAAGCGAAATGGAACACCAGGAAGGCCAATGACAGTAAGAACGGTAGAAGTAGAAGAGACTGTGCTGGCCATTATAGAAGAAGATATAGGGTACTCGCTACCCCAGATTCTGGTTACAAGAAATGCAATGTGGTTTATGCACGATGGTGCACCAGCGCACTTCAGCATATTGGCTCGAGAGTTTTTAACAGTAATATAAGGAGATCGCTGGATTGGTCGAGGTGGACCTCACTTATGGCCTGCTCGATCACCAGACTTTAACCCCCTGGATTATTTCCTATAGCGCCACCTAAAGTCATTAGTTTATACTACTCTAGTGGGAGATGTGGAAGATTTGAGAAATCGGATAATTGTTTGGTATAACGCAATCAGAATTGATCCTGGTGTTTTTGAAAGAGAAGATTGGATTCTTGCATACGAGCGTGGGGTGGTCATTTTCAACAGTTCTTGTAGATTAAGAAACAACATGTAATTTTTGGTAATAAATTGTTTTTGTCAAAATTCTTTTTCGCTCCGTATAGTCCCTCAAATTTTTGTCGCATGTTAATAAACACTCTATATACACGTATACACATATAGACCAACCCGCAACTAGAAGGAATCCGGGTGTTGGTAAAGGATCTTTGGGGTCCTTATCTGACCTTAGTCTTTCTCTGATAGTTATCATTGGCCTAAATATTGGTTTCACGTCGCGTTTTTCTAATATTCTCCCGATCCGGTTAATAAAATTTTTAACATAGGAAAGCTTTTTCTTTGACCGTCCTAACTGGGGTTTTTTAGGCGTTCTCTCTTCGGGGTAATACGACCCGCTCAAGTTCTTCGCTGTACCCATTCCTTTAAGGGCATTTTTCAGGAGATGGAGTTCCTTAGGAAGACTTTCAGGTTTACAGACACGTCGTGCTCTCTCAATCAACATTTTAATTATTTAACCTGAACAAAGCTGGTAGTTAGAGTTTTTGTTTCAGGTACCTGTCTGTGTGTGCTGGTTTCCTGTACGCTCTGTGGCCCAATGTATCATCGTCACGTTCTGTTCACAAGAACATCCAAGATGGCTGCAGTTTCCTTGGGTTCTTCGTTTCATTGTGAACTGGATTTTTGAGTCGAGAGAGTTTAGATATAACAGAAATTGTTTGATGTCTCTTCACCATCTTGCCATCTGGACTATCTATCCATTGCGGTACCATCCGGTTGTTCGTAAAAAAACACCATCTCACTGGAAATAAGTTGATGATAAACAATGAGGGAAGAGGGCGGTTATATCTGTTGGAAATACTCTGTCAATTAGCGCCATATTGTGTCCTTGATCCCAATCATCGTTTACAAGGACAAACTTAATCATGTGTCTTCTTTTTGACAGCATATTCAGCTACAGCTGATTTGTCAGTTTGTCCTTGTCAACAGAAATTCAAAAACACAGGGATAATATGAAAAGAAACGGTAATGGACATTAATAAACTATGGCCAACTCTTCTTAATTGTACACAAACAAAGTCAGGTAATCCAATTAGGAGAAACCAAGCCACGCCCACCTATAATAATATAAAACCGTAGTCGAATACCAGCACTTTAGTTCATCGGGGGTCGACTCAATAACTAACAAGTTGTTGAAGAGGCTCCCGGACAACTGCGTTGAGTGCTTACTGAATATAATCAATAGTTCGTTAGCCCTCAGACACTTCCCCAGTAGGTGGAAGCATGCATGATGATCCCAAAACAGGGTCAGAACCCGCTGTTCCCACAGAACTATCGCCCGATAAGTCTACTCTCATCGGCGGCTAAGCTGGCTGAAAGAGTTGTTCTCCAAAGGCTCAACGAAGAAGTTGAGGACCGAAATGTTCTGCCTGATAAACAATTTGGCTTCAGGAGAGACCACTCCACTGAGTAACAGGCTCTAAGGCTGGTCGAAAACACCATCCGCGAGTTGAACACAAATAAAAAAGTGCATATTGTCCTATTAGACATCTCGAAGGCCTTCGACCGTGTTTGGCACGAAGGTCTTCTGCATAAATTGAACGCTTTCGACCTACCTCGGGGCCTCGTCCGGTGGATCGGGTCCTTCCTGAAAGACAGGACATTTCAGGTTAGAGTAGAGGGATCTCTGTCTGACAACAGAGAGATCCTTGCTGGAGTGCCACAGGGGGGCGTGCTCTCTCCGACGTTGTACTCACTTTACACCAGTGACCTTCCGAGGCCCGAGCGTGTGAAGATATCTCTTTACGACGATGACCACGGCTCTCCTCTCATCTTCCATGGGTCGGGAGCTCGGTGTCGTCTATATGCAACGTGCATTGGACGACCTCGAGCGCTGGTACCTTGATTGGAAGATCCGAGTGAACCCGGATAAGACTCAGGCAATAACCATGGGAAAACAAATCTTCTCCGGCCAGAAAAGTGAGAATCTCTGGAAGGGAGATTAACTGGCAAGAGCGAGTAAAGTACCTCCGCCTTCTAATAGACCGTAGGCTCACTTGGAACCCGCACATAACGTGCGTCAAATCAAAGATCGAGGGTCGGATAGCACGTCTGTACCCTCTGATATACAGAAAATCAAAAATTAGTCTAAAAAACAAATACGATGTTCAAGTCTGTCATCATGTATGCTTCAGGCGTCTGGGGACAAGCGGCTCCGTCCAACATTTCCATTCTGGAAAGGTTACAAAACAAGCTAATAAGGATGATTGTAAATGCTCCTTGGTTCGTGCGGAATGAAGCCATCCGCAGAGATTTGCAGCTGCCTTCCATTCGGCAGTCCATCCAGTCGAGAAATCAGAGAGTTTTTGATGGATTATACTATAGACGACCCCTCCCGATATAGAAGGCCTCGACACTCTGTCGAATGAGGCCCCTATATCTTCCGATGAAAGATGAACGTTTTCATCCAATTCACCCCAGCCAGGCAGGGGTACACCGTGAAGGGCGGTACTGATGTCTGAGGACATTCATGCCGTCAGTTATGCCCCGTTTTTCCTTCTGGCAAACATCAGTTCAAAGGGTAAGGGAGCCAGGCTCCAACCTGACTAAATTCAAGATGGATATCGAGAGGATTGTAGTTTCTGCGTTGGGAACAACAATTCGAGCACTTCGATCGTTATCGTCTCTGATGTCTACCACAGCAATACTCGAAACGTCAGGCATAAATACCTGCAGACCACGTTCAAAAAACCCGGAAAATAGTTTTGATGCAATAATGATAACGTCTTGAAATTGTTTTTTCTTGTAATTCAATTTTCAAATGAAAGTAGGTGTCAAATGAAAGTAGTTGTTACGGGAGCGCTTTCTTCTTCCAATGTGTATCTGAAAATAACTTCTATGCATGATTTACACAACTTCGTAAAGCGTTTATTTCAAAAGTCATTGCTTTTTCTTTCTTTAGAAACTTTCCACATTTATTTGTACAAAATGGAAGAGTAGAAAGCCGAAACCTTTTTTCCAAAAACCAACCTCTCCTAAAAATATACCCCTTTCAATTCTAATAAGATAACATTCTGAAAGAAAACTACTTTTTGTTTAATATTTTAATTTTCTTTTCACCTCCATACAATTTTCTCTATCCAGTCTAAATATTTTGAAATTCTAGTATAAACACCAGGAACTCGTCCTCCACAGCCAGCTCCATATGAAACAACACCAACAATTGAATAGACTCCGGATTTCTCTCTAATCTGCAAGGGCCCACCGGAATCACCCTGAAATGGATAAGGAAATTTAATCAGAGGGGTAGGCACTATACGAGACATATAGAATGAAAGAGAGGGAGAAATATGAGATTAGCGAAGTTAAAAAAAAAATTACCATCAATAATTGAAATAGTCATTGCCAACATCTGATATGTTATTCCCTAAAGCATTTTCAAACGAATACCATAAACTTGTCTGAAAATGTCCATATAGGATGAAACTGCAGTAACGTTAGCTACAAATACAGGTGGTATAAAAACAGGAAATTTTATCTATATTTTTTCAAGGGCCTGGATATCGCTCACAAAATAAGGATTTCATACCGGCATGACAGGAGACATATTTTTAAAGGCTTTGAAAATCATATACTTTTCTTATGATGCTTGCTTGCTCAAGATCTTGAGTAACGGTGACCCCCAAAACTTTTTGCTGAAACACAGGCTTAATTTGAGAATAGTTCAAATACAATTGTTGAATTCCATATGGAGTACTGTACATTCGGCCTCATTGATATCACGTTTCGCCGGTTTTAATGTCTTCCGTGATTTTGTGAGATTCTGTGATAGGCCAAGGGAAGAGTTTTGTGTCACTATTAGCGAAGAAGAACGCATATGATTTCATTAGAGACCCGAGATCACTAATGAAGGTATAAACTTGTAGTGGTCCTATCACTGACCCTTGAGGTATTCAACTGGAGGCAAACTAACTTCAAAAAAGTTCGCCATTGACTCTCACCCTGCAACTCTCATTTGATAGAGAGTTTCTCATTCAATGAAGTAACTCGCTTCGTACTCCAAAGTGATCCGGCTTGTATCTACCTTTCGCGAGGCACAAGATCAAACGCGGAAATCTATGAATATGACGTCGATAAGCTGGGATGTGTGCCTATTGGTCGGCGCACGTAATAGATACATTATTATAGATAGTGAAGAAAAAATCTATGTTGTCCATCCTGAAGAATTTCTTGTTCCAGCATGAATTGTGTTAGCTCATTTGCAATAATTTTTCCATGTATTTTGCTCTAACTGTGGTCTAAGTTTATTTCTTCCAGGACTCCATAAAGATTTTATATCTTTGAGAGCTGCGGTTACAATTTCTTCAAATACTGTTATTGATGTTTCTTTTCTGGAGATTGCAGGAAAGAAGGGAACATTTTATGACGGTTCTATTGTGAAGGTACTAGATAAATATCAGGTGGGCTGAAAAATTCGTAGGCTAACATACAGAGATGGCGCAACTAGTATCAAATCCAAATAATTTTTAGTTAACCTCAACACAGCGCAACTATGCTGTGACCCTAACCTTCAAAAGACAATTGTACGAATTTCACAGCTGTCGGTTAATACATTTTGAATGAAGCAACTTTTGTTGGTTTGAAAATGTCTAAAATGGAATTTCGTTTATTAATAAAGCATTATTTTTGGCGAAAAAAATACTGTTGAAGCCGAAGCTTGGCTTGATAAACATTATTCGGACTTTCCACCAGGAAAATCAACCGTTGGACACCCCGACGTAAATATAAAAAAGGTCAACGAAATAATTTTGGATGACTGCAAGGTAAGTTGATCGAGACAGCTGAGGCTCTAAAGATATCGAATGAACGTGTTGGACATATCGTGCATGAATATTTGGGTATGAGAAAGCTCTGTTCAATGCCATGGGAACCCACTATCGACCAAATACAACAACTAACTGATGATTCTAAGCAGTGTTTGAAGCTGTTCCACCATAAAAAACCCGAATTCATGCGTCGATATGTGACAATGGATGAAACATGGCTCCATCATTTCACACCGGGATCAAAACGACCAGACGAGATAATGCTCAAGCTTGTTGTGCTGAGCAACTATTTGGTGGCGGATCAGTTATGACATGGGGAGGGATATCGTTTGTCGCTCGCACGGAGTTAGTCTTCATCGAGAATATGTCATTGAATGCGCATAAGGATCTTCAAGACATTTATGCATGATAATGCACGGCGTCACTATGACCGGATCATTACTGAGCATATTGACGACGTTCAATTCACGCGATTTATTTGGCCTGTTCACAGTTGGGGTTTAAACCCCATTGAATATGTTAGGGATGTGCCGGATTCCAGAATATCTAGAGAGCTACGTGACATACTGGTACAATAATGGGAAAATTTTGCGCAGAACGTAATTCAAAATATGATCCAAAGCATGCCTCGTCGTTTGGAAGCTGTTTTCATTGCAACACTCGTTTCATTGCAACACTCGTTACTGAAGCCCTTACATTTTTCTTTTTCAACCAAATGCATATCAAAGTAAAATTGTTTGCTTTCTTAGCATATTGAAGTAAAATTTGGGCAACCAAAAAGAGGTTCATTTTTCAAGGAAGCGGTAAAATTACGGAGTGAACCTAATTTCATGCCCGGTAGTATAGTGTAAACAGGGTGTTTCAAATTTCTCCGTATTTATTCATTGGCTTTTCAAACGAACCGAACTCGGTGAGATTTTGATCCAATAACTTGAACATAGTTCGATGTGGTTGTCGTCTTTCGGGATACAAGTGTAAATACATTTTCGATGTTCTAACACTGTTTCTATGGTATTTGTAATACATTTGTATCATCTCTCTTTTTTCTTCATTCGTGAAAGACATTTTTCGACAAAAATTCAATGACTTGTACAATAACAACATGTAATTGAGCGTAACAAATTGAAAGCCGAATTTAGAAACATCAAAGTCAAAGCCTATTACGATGAGAATACATTTTTTTCAATATCTCCAATTTTTCGAAAAAGAATGATACCTTATGATACATTATTGAAAAGGTAAAATCTGGTTCTATTCAAAACAGAAAGAATCCAATGTAGCATNTCATTGAAAAGGTAAAATCTGATTCTATTCAAAACAGAAAGAATCCAATGTTGCGCCAATAAGAAAATAAAAAGTTGATGATGGTGGCAGGAAGAGGAGAAGACGGAAAAACACCATTATGTAACCGTGAAAAAGTGGCAATGTGGAAGTGCAATGTATTTTCGAACCCTTCGAAAAATAAAGCCAGAAAAAATAAAAACCATTTTCCAAAACTTCTTTTTTTTCCGGATATCTCCGGATATACTCGGAATTTCACAACTTTCTCAACGGCATATTGTTAGTCAGGTAAATACGCAACTTTGCCCCACTTTAACCATCTTCGTATCTCTCATAGTTTCCGAGATCCCAATGTGGGGATCGAATTTGAAACACCCTGTATATGTTCGAAAAACATAACCACAGAAAAAACATGTTGAGAAAAATGGCTAAACAGAAATTCTTACCCAGCATGCATCGCTTGTGCTCGCAGCAGCACAAAGTTGCGTAGACTCGATGGTTTTCGTTCCCAATGTTCTGACCGTATAGGTCTCATTGCACTGCTCAATCGGAACAGCAACTAATTTGGCTTTTTGTAATATATTACTTCTGTCATCCTCAGCATCTGAAAGTCAATTAATTTATTTTGAATAAGGATGAGACTGATTTAGTCGCTAAAGGAGTTGAGAAGATCCAGTCCCATATTGAATCATTATGATTGTTTATATGTTATTCGAGATGGTTAGCGAATGAATATTGTTGTAAATTATGCCCGAAAGAAAATAACGCCGGCCGCCGCTGGTAGTCATAAACCAGGCGTGACGTGGCTAAGAGCGCGCGAGTGCACTATGATTCCCCGCCAATCGAGAAGCAACGGGAATAATGCTACCGACTTCGGCAGAACTTCGGAGAAACATTCGATTACGATATTTAAAGGCTAGCCACGATGATATCGAGACAGTCAAGTAGTTACAGTACGGTACGCGAAGTGATCTAGTAAGGCGATAGACAGTCAAATAATAGTTGAAGTGTTTGTTGTATTGTTTGTGCTATATCGACGTAGTCGGTAAGTCAGAAAAATCCACCATTTGCGTTAAACGGACTATGTTGGAAAAAAATATTTTGTCAGGATCGTCAGGATAATAAAATCTGTTATGAAATTTCATGGTTTGATGAGAGTAGATTCACAACGGATTGTAGATTGAACGGATGGTTCAAGAGAAATATTCATTATTACTGGCGACAAGAAAATTCCTTCCTACAAATTTCCGAAAGAGATTTGGAGTTAATGTTTGGTTTGGTCTGCTAGACACCAAGATTATAGGTTCCAACTTTTCGAGACACCTTTGACCTAGGAATTATATTTTGAAGCATTGTCGGAGGCTCTAGTTGAGTTGTTCGAAGATTTGTCTTTGAATATTCTGAGAAAATATCAGTATTTCCAACATGATAAAGCTCCGCAACATCGCAGAACTATTTGCAAAGATGTCCTCAATATGACTATGTCAGGACGATGTATGGAAAACAATTCTCTTATTGAATGGCCACTACATTCACCTGACCTGACCCTTCTAGACTTTTCATTGTGGGGCTTCATTGAAGACAAGGTATTCTAATTAACTTTTAGCAATATCGACAAAATATTTGACATAATACATATTTTGCAAAATACTATTGCAAGAGCGAATATTTGTTCAAGGGACGATGGACGGTAATTTGAACATTTATTCAAATATCGTGAATGACGTGGATGGTTAAGAGTAATTACTTTTTTTTTGTTTGATATTTGGTATACTGCATGTTTTTCCGATGTGTGGAGTTTATGTATAGCTTGGAGTTTCAGACCCAAAAAATGATGGTCCCTATTTTATTGAGGTAGCTCCGATCGAGAATTGTATGACCACACAATAATGATAAGAAAAACTTCGTGAAACACATGTATCGTAATACATAGCTGAATTTGTTATTGCAGTGGCTACAAAATCGATGAAAAACCTAGAGATCCGTATTTAAAAAAATGATGATGAAATTTAATGAACAAAATGTCGCATTGGAAATTCGTTTATATCAGAGATTATAACAAATATGAAACAGTATTGAAAGTTCCTCTGTCTTATTTATATCACTGGGAATGGGGGCGGTAGAGCCAAAAAACGAAATTCGACAATTCTATATATGATGGAATTGTCCGACACTTGATGAAAATCCATTACCGACGTATTCAAAAAACACTGTATTGTGTCTGTTTTACTGCTACAGATAGGCAATTAGGCACGTTCATTGAATATGACGATTACATCCACCCGTCAATAAAATTCACCACCGAGAGGGATTTTGACGATTGTTTGAGTTTGTAAAAAGGGCTTAATAAAAATGGGCTACTACATTGTAAAAAGAACTAAATTATTCAAGGTGGGTCATTCGAGCTGCAAAATTGATTATTGGCGAAAACGGTTAATCAACCCCTCCCCTATCAAGGGGAGGGGTTGAAGAGCCCCCTATTGGGGGTTGCTCGTTCAAGCCTATAATATACGTCAAAAGATGTCCCCCAAACAAAATCATTCGACGTGTTTCGAAAAATGTTTCCACTCACTATGGGATAAGAAATATACGGGGTGGCTTGTCTGAGATGTAACACCCTGTATAAGCTGACTTGTGGATCTTGTCCAAAACTGTATATTGGCCAAACAGAGAGAACATTTTCCCAAAGAATTGAAGAACATACAAGTAGTTTTGTAAATAGAAAGACCACTTCCACATTTGCAAACCACCTTTTAGCAGAAGGATATGAGTTCATTCATGAACACGATGTGTCAAATTTAGAGGAGAATAGTTTGAAACTCACTCTTCTAGTTTCTAGATTGTTTATAAATCAATAGATTCAGGAGTTAATTTACTGATTGATCAATTAGAAATGAAAAACGCCCCGTTATTGAATATTTTTTCATTTTTTTATTCATTACAAACTTGAGTAAAAATCGGGTACATGAACTGCAGGTTCTTCAAATTATAGAATAATGTATATTTAGCATTGAATATGTAGAATTAGTTAGTAAAGACACTCCCGAAGAAGCCATTGTATGGCAAAACACCGTTTACCTTTACTCCTGTCATGCCCTTTAACCCACCTCAGAATAATGTTATTATCTACCGAGGCTTTGGGTAAATCTTGGTGACATTCTTGTACTAGCTCTGAGGTTACACGTTGTACAAGGCTTATAGGGCTTGTCTGCTGTCAGTGCAGATTGTTATGTTTTTGTCAGAAATTCCTTTCCTGGATATTTCTTTTGTGGCGATTGAGATACCAGCCAGTTCCGTTTGGACCACGCTGGTATTTTTTCCCATTCCCCACTTGGTGCTGCAGGTTTTTCCGGGGTTTCCTGCAGCTTAAAAAGCAAATGCGCTATTGGAATCAACCAAGTCCTCCCGGAGCGCCAATTATTTTTTGTTGTTTCATAATTTCCTTCTTTAATTGAAAAAAAACAGACAGTGTAGGTCTTACCATTTCCGAGATCGCAGTAGTATGGTCAGCTGAAAAATGGCTTGTATAGGCCCTAAACTAGCTGTGGGGGTACCAGAATCTTTGATCCGGAACCAGATCGGAAAGTGGGTTTATGAAAGTACTGGAAAAGCATCCGGAAACACACACAAAACCTTTATAAAGCAATAATCGGCGCACAACAATTGAAGGGCCTCTCACTTGGCACTGTCCATTAAGAGGACTCCTGAGCAAAATATGGCTGTACAACGGAGACCTTAACTGCAGACGATGCAACACAGGAACAGAGACAGCTCGTCACATTTCAAACCAATGTGGGGCACAGGAGGCAAACAATTTATGGACAACCCAAATTATTTTCAAAAGGTTCCAAACAGGGAAATGGGTGTCAAGAAAAAGATGGATTGAAAATGCAAATAGTCATGCACTTTTGTTTTTGCTGCAGCGTTTTTCGGAGAAATGGAATGATATGGTTTCCTACAATCCCTGCCTCTTTTGAGGGTATTGCGTGTGTTGTTCTCTCATCCAGTGAGGATTTTCCGTTGACCAGTAGTGGCAATTTTGCCGATTAGCATGACCGTTAAGAGACAAAGTACACTTATCATAAAACATAACGTCTTCTAATTGGATGATTTGTTATCCAACATGTACATTTGCTCACAAAAATAAGTTTTTCTATCAAAATCGTCTTCTATGAGCTTCTGAGTAGGTATCATTTTATAGGGATGCATTTTATTTTCTTTAAATATGTTTACTATCGATAACATTGAATATAGTGGATGCCTGTCTATTCGATGCATATGGGTTTTCCTCAAACTCAAGCATCACATCTAATTTGAGTTCATCACTCATTGCATTGGCATCTGTTTTTTTTTTATCTGCCCCACATGACCAAGTTCGCGAAACTACTTCTCTATTTTGCTTATTGTTCCGTGAGATATGGGGGGTAAATTAGAAAATTTTTCATGAAATGGGCGAGCTACTTCCTGTTGTGTTCGGGTTTTATCTCCGTAACCAATCATTTGTAAAACTGTTATTTTATGCATTTCCATTAATCTAACCATTTGTCAGACTTGAAGTTAACGAACTTTAAACTTAACTTAAAATACTGACAACTAATGTTGTAACATAGAAAACAAGCTGACAAGGCGTTGCCACAGAAATTATTTACAGTTTTTTAAAAGATACCATCCTAAAAGAACATTGCTATGGTTTTTATTACCAATACCTCAACATGAAATATAAGTTTTGAGTATATAGCAATAAGTTTTGAGTGTATTTTATCGAATTTCAGTAACCATATGATTTTAATGTATTTAATCTTAATTGTTGCAATAAACTGGAAAGCGATAACATTTTTGAATAAAGAATAAAGATACCTATCAAACGATATATCGCAAACCTATACTTCCCATTTAAAAAATTGGGGTTTGTACATGTTCTTCGACGGAGGTTGAAGGTAGGGGTAGCATTTTCCAGTTGAAGTATGTCAAGTTATAATTCAAATTTGACGTGTTTTGGGAATTTGTTAAAATATGTATCGCAACCAAAATAATGAATTAATTCCATTTGACTTTTAAACACTATAACAACATATCTCCGTGGCAATTTTTCTACTCACCAATACTCGTTTTCCCCCATCCCGTGACTATAAGCCCCAGAGGATCATCATCTTTTTCATACAGACACGCCGGAAAAACCCTATCGGAAAACTTGACGGTTTGGGTGAGCTCCACTATCGCTATATCGTGGTGCTTGTGACTCGTGTCGTACCCCTCGTGCATCGAGACGTTCTTGATATCAGTCTCGATGGCGTTAGAGTCGTTCAGCCAAGTGATGCCCAAGCGGACCCTCGTGGGGGGCTCCCGGCCCGTGAAGCAGTGAGCAGCGGTGAGGAGGAAACGGTTCGATATTACGGAGGCTCCACACGTCCAGCTCATGCCTTCATCAGTTTCGGATCCCAGAGCTGCCTGAAAATTGAGTCAATTATACAAGGTGTCGGCTCCAGAAGGGATGGAGTGAGGAATTAGTTAGCAGGTGGATTTTTTCAGAAGTAAAGTCATTCTACAGGCAAAACTTTCGGGATTTCAAAAACAATGTTGTATCTATTGATTTCAAATATTTTTCAACTGAAATTACGATTTGTGCTAGAATTGGTCGATACTTGATGAAAATCCGTAAGTAACGTATTCAAGAACCACTTTATCGTGAGATTTGCACTGCTTTCGTGCTGTACAATGCTTTCTCAAGCGTTTTCGTATGACCTTCTACCTATTCAATGAATAATCATTTTGGGAATAGAAAAATTAAAAATTTGAACATTCTAAGCTAACTAATTACCGATTTCCAGATCAAAAAACAGATTTAGAAGCGGGGAAGAGATATATTTTATTCGGTATGTTCTTTCATTCTTCGGGACAACGTTCTCCCCGTTTGGCCAATATAAAGTGTTAGGCAAGAACCACAAGTATATACTCCTGATCTATCCAACACTGAAGTTTTGTTTTCATTGTTTTCAATAAATTTGCTTTAATTATTAATCGTACGGTAAGTTCGCGTCCAAGTTGACCTACTCACTATTTGTCTATTTCAAAATTATTTTTAATTTGATGAAAAGTTTCATTCATGCAGCGAATGACTAATAATGGTAAACCCGTTGAGTGCTTTGCTAGCTGAAATTTTTATGGACAACCTTGAAACTGGTATGGGCGGTCCACCAACGGATCCAAGAAGGGGCAAAGGGGGCAAGTGCCCCCCCCCCCCGAGAAAAAAATTCCCTCAGGGATGTGTGCTTAAGAATTGAAGCGTCAACCTTTCAAAAAACAATAATTAATTTGATATACGTTCTCATTTTATTTTAATTTTGGCGATGATAGTGGCAGCAGAAATTTGCAACCTTGTGACAAAACCATTTCGATAATCGCCATTGCAATTTGTTATTGTTGCTTTGATAAGTAAATAAATAAACTTTCCACACTACATGGTAGAATATAATAAAACATATTTTCCTATATGAATCAAAACATAGGGTAGACCTACAGGTAAGGTATTTATTTATAACTTGGTGGTTTTAGAAAGTTAGGGGTGAACTAAGAAATCTTGATTGCCCCCCCCCCGAAATCATGGTCTGGATCCGTCACTGAGGCGGTCTAAGGCGGTCTAAGAGCGATGTCTGTGCGAAAGTAGCGATTCACATTGGATTTGAATCGCTAGAGGTTAAATCAATTTGGAAAACGTTCTCAGGAAGTTTATTCCACATCAACGCAGTTCATCAAATGAAAGAGTTCTTAAACAAGGAAGTTCGAGGTGTACTGAGTTGAACCTCAAAACAATGAGCAGCCACAGTCCTTCGCGTATTTCTGATATGTACCGCTCTTGGTGGAATCAAATCTGCCAAATCACTTGAACACTTCCCGTGAAAGTATCTATAGAAGAGAGACAAATCTCCAACTTTTTTTCGTTGTTCCAGACTATCAAGGTTGCAAGAGATATTCGGCGGATGGATCTTTCCTGGATGGAGCTCTTTCCAGCAGCTTCAGGGTATGCTTAGTGGCGAAGCTATATACATGAAAACAATACTCCAAAGAAGGTCTGATCTGAGCTTTATGAAGCATCTCAAGTGGTGTTCCAAGCTTTTGAGACGCAGCCTTTGCAATTCCAGCGACATGATTGTGCATGATTGTCCTAGATCCTCATTGGGATATGCAACCTCCTGCTGCATCCTGCATCCGCAACCGATGTCCTAAAATCCAAACGGAATGACGGGACAAGTGTGCTGTCGTCAGCAAAGCAATATATTGGGTTCTTGTTTTTTTCCACTAAGTCGTTGATATACAATAAAAAAGGTGTTGGAGACAATATGGGTCCCTGGGGAACACCAGCGGTGATGGTAAAAGTATTCGAGAGATATCCAACGATGGCCTCTTGCAGGGACACAACCTGTCATTGGCGTCGCTTTAGGCTCTGCCAAACAAACATTGAACACCTGGATGGGAAGAAGATTTATGGACTTCTGGCAGAATCTTCCAAGGCGTTTATTCACCCTTTGAAGTTTGATACCAAACAGTTGTTGGACTACAGTAGGGATGAACTACAATGTCTAACAGACCTTATTACATGCCACTGTCATTTGAATCATCATATAATAATAATAATAATGATAATGAATCGGCTTTATTGATAATACAAAAAAAACAATACAAAGATACATTTGAAAATGAAAATAGGTTACAGGAGATTGTGGTACTCCTTGGCGAAGTCTAGCTCAAAGCTACTCAAACTCAACCGACAAGCACCACTCCAAAATTCACGCGAACATACAAAAATAAGACAATTAACAGTGATGGTACCACGAAATGAGAAACGTAAATAAAAATAATAATTTGTGATTATATATAAAGAGAGTTGATAAATAATTAAATTTAATTGATCTGTTGTTTATTATTATGTCCAAGGAGCAAAAGTTGACATTACTGACTATCATAGATATAACTTTTATATTTGTATTTGAATTTTCTGATATTGAATCTCTTCGATTGCTCGAGCAATGAATTATAGAGTTTTACAGCACCAAAAAGAAATGATCTCTGAAACTGTGCAGTGCGATGTTGTGGCATAGTTAATTTGTTTTTGTGTCTAATATTTCTTGAGTGAATATTTTCATGCAGAATTAATTTTTGTATCGAAAGAGGAGAATGGGGAAGGGTAATCAATTTATGAACAAAACAACCCAAATGATTAATCATACGGTTTTTCATATTGAGCCAGCGGGAGTATTTAAAGATTCAGAAATTGAATCATACTTACGAAGTCCATAAATTAGGCGGCAACAAGAATTTTGCACTTTTTGTATTCTTTTTTTATCTGAATCATATAAGTATGGCCCATATATGAAGTCACAGTAGTTGAAATGGCTTAGCACCAAACTATCACAGAGCATTCTTTTTAGAGGTTGGCTTGAAATAAAACGATTACAGTACAACAGTTTCAATGACATATGAGCTTTTTTCATTTAATTTTTATAATGACTAGTGAATCTAAGATCAGTGTCAAGCATCACCCCTAAGTTTTTAGCTGTATCAACAGGAGTCAAGATAGTATGACCTAGTTCTAAATGGAAATTGTTTTCTGCAAATTTACGATTCTTCTGTGAGCCAAAATGCATCATCATCATAATGTTCATTTGATAGCCTATTGATCAAGTCAAGATCAGTGTTGAAAATATTTTGTGCCTCAGCATTCTCATCGATTTTGAAGTGCATGTATAATTGTATGTCATCAGCATACGCCTGTATTTTACATTTGTTGATGGACGAGATAATGTCAGTAGTATAAATGATAAACAATAAAGGTCCCAAAATGGAACCCTGTGGTACTCCTGATAGAATATCAAGAGGTGAAGAGTGATGACCAACAACAACAACTTTTTGAGATCGACCAAGTAAATAAGACCAGATGAAAAGTAAGGCAGCACTATCAAAACCATAATATTTGAATTTCATGCAAATCAGCTCATGATTGATGGTATCGAATGCTTTTAAAAATCTAGTAGAACCAGAGTGCTAATCATTTCCTTATCAAATCCCTCAACAATGTCTTGTATGACAGTAGCAAGAGCTGTAGCCTAGTTAAAACCCTGCCTAAAACCACATTGCGATAGTGATAACAGATTATTGGTATTGAAATATTCATTAATTTGTAAATAAGAAACTCTTCCAAAAATTTTACTCATGGTTGGGAGTATACTGATAATTCTGAGATCAGAATAACTAGCTGGATAATTATTCTTGGGAATGGATTTCCCAACGGCAATCTTCAACAAGCCTGGAAAATGTCAACGTTCAAAACAACAATTGATATGTGTAATATATTTATCTATGAACGGGCTACAAAGTTTGAACATTCTGATTGAAATCAACCCCTGAAGCTTGAGTGCAGACTCGAACTGTCGGAAGACAGTGTGTGTCGCCTCTGTTTGGAAAATGATGAAACAGCAGAGCATATACTTTGTACCTGCCCCGCTGGGGTCCGAATCAGGTTTTCAGAGTTCAGCAGAGCCGTACTCTTACCATCTGACCTGAAAGACCACTCACCACACAAACTAATCGGCTTCGTTAAGAAGCTGGGTTTATTTGGTCGAGTGTGAATAGGTGTGAGCCCCAATAAACCCTTGTGTGTTGCGGTGGAAGGTATAATAGACCCACTCACTTTTGACCTAACGTAACCTAACCAACCTCATGGCCTTTGATAATGTCACCGCAGTAGTAGACGAAACGACAGGCAAATAAACCCGGAAAAAGCTTTGACACAAATTGGCGTTTTCAGGAGATGAACTACAACTAATCTAGTATTTTATTTCTGGTATTTGATAGCAATTCAACTTTTACCGAAAACTATGATGTAAATGCAAGCTTACATTACCATATGAGGAAACTCCTTATCTGCGGCGTCATCTCCGTCGATGATATGGAAAATAACTCCTTTCGCGGACTGATTTGAAATTTCGTTGCATGCTGGAAAATTAATAAATCATTAGGTACTTTTATAACGAACTCGTCAGCAAAACAGCAGTAAATCAACATATTTTTATCAATACCGTTGTAACACTGTTCGATCATTTCGTTATGATTAAACATCTGATGTGGGCGTATTAACATACTGACTCGATTACTATTTCCAAACGAATTGGAGTGCATGTTCGATCAAATAAGGTAAACAGAATAATGGGGCACATTTCAAGCAATCATGACCGTAGTGGATAAAGATAATATAGATATTTCATTTATTATTTGAATATTTAAATGACTTATGCCATCGGGGCAACTAAAACTATTTGCAGACTTTCTCATAACATATCTCAAACCTTGCTTTTGCTGTTCCAAGTTGTAACTTTATTTGTTTTTGTCTTCCATTTTTCACTCCAGCTGTAAGAGGTAACAATACCCACGTTTGAAAAATAAAAAGTGGCCATTGTTACTTCATACGAAACCATTATTGGTATAGTCGAAGTAATCTTTGTGAATACTTAAAGCTATCGGCATATCAAAGGCCAAAAAAACCAATACAGAGAAATAATGCCGCTACGAATTAGTCCACGTGGACTGAAGAATTGGCGGTTCGTATTGGATAATTTTTACTAACCGAGTTTTATGATTGGCTGAAGAGTCATAAAATTAAATTTGAAGTTATGTTACGGTGACGAATAGAATGTGGGGATGAGTATCGCCGTTGTGTCGTCAATGTTCAGTTCAGGAACTGATCACGATTTGAGTGTTGAAATTCGATATTGGTTTGAATTGAAGGGGTTATATTCTTAGGGAACTATATATTTTTGGGAAAGAAAGTTTTTGGAGTAGTAGAAAGCCAAAAACTTTCTTTCGATATTGGTGTAGTTATAATTACTTAAAATTTTTGTTATCTGTTTAAAATGTGGCGTTCTTGGACAAGTTCTAACAGTAATAACGAGTGTGATAGCAACGCAGACTTTTTCCTATGTAGTGATTCAAATAGCAATGGTGAACAATGAGAAAAAGAGATACCAGTGAATAAGATTCGGATGCATTTGAATATTGAAACACAGAGAGTATGTTTCAAAGTATATAAGAATCTACATCTCAAGTTTGGTTTCGAAGGAAACAAACGATTACAAGCAACATCAGATTTGACCAACATTTCTTTCTCAACTGTAAGTAAAATAGTCAAAAACAAACCTTATGGAGGCAACACGATAGGGGTGGCCCCAGTCAGATGACACCCTGTATAAAAGATTCATGGTTATATTCTGAGAGCCCACAACAAGTGCCAATAGCAAAATGTGGATAGATTTTCAATGACTGCGAATAAAGAAGATATAGGAAAAAAATAATTTGGGATTTTTGGTTTTTCCTGTATATCTCCAGAACCAAATAAGCTATATTCGATTTCCTTACATCANGAATTACGAAATTAGTTAGCCCCTAACTATATTATTAAAGGTAGGTTGCACTAGATCGCTTACTTGAACTATAGTAGAATGTCTCATACCTACAGCTGATTTTTTTTAAGGATTTAACTATTCTGAGACGATAATATATTTGAAAAGACACTCAATAATTGGTTATAAAAATCCAATAGATCACGCCAAATATAAATAATTATACAAAACAAAATAAGGTTTGGCAATAAAATTTTAAATATCTTTTACAACGCGGAAAACTAAATTCCATACAAATCTGGTTTCACAAAACTGGCTTCACAAAACTGGCTTTTCGATGTATTATTATGTAACAAGGTAAATGTTGACTTAGTGCTTTACCAGTTCACATTTTTTTAAATTATTACATTTTAATTAAACCTGTTATGAACCGCAACATAATTCCATTAACAAATATTTAAGTGACATAATGATTTGTTAACGAATGAAAACAATACATATTTCAAGTTTCAGGTTGAATGATTCAAATCAATTGTTTAAAATTGTTTATTATTTTGGATAACTTGATAACAAGTTATTTCAGCTGACTAGTTCATATTTCGACAATCGCACTATGATGTGTGAGATACTATTCGAAATATAATGATAATAATAATAATAATAAACGTTTTTATTGACGTACTGAAAGTGAAATTATTACTAGTTCTTCATTAACACTTTACAGAAAGTAACACCAAAAGGCAGAGTTCAACTCCTAATTGAAAAAAGGAGTTGTTCTTCCACTCAACACAAAACGGTGTCAGTTTTTGTAGCTCCATATCTCGATAAATATTCATTCTACTGTGTCGTGGTATGTTCTGATCTATGAAGAATTTTGTACTCGATACATTGATATTTCGGCCAATTTTTCCCTGCGAATTCAAATTGAATCAAAGCGCTGCCGAAACAGCCCGAAAAATCAACCAGGTATTTGGAAAATCCTCGTCCTGGCAATTCAGGACGAGGATTTGAGGACCCTGGTGGAGACTGACCCATCACAAACAGTGCGTGAAATGGAGGAAAAACTGGGCTGTTCTTTGGTCCTGCGCAACCAAAAAGATCCTTTCTCGAATCCAATTTAAGGAATTCAACCTCCATCAATCGACTAAGAGAGGAATCATCAAGACTCTACTAGACCGTGCTTTCGGGCTCTGTAATACAAAGAAAGGTCTCGAAAAGGAACTATGCATCATCAAAAATGACCTTCAACGGAATGGTTACTTCAAAGTGATGGTGGAACAGACTTCAGCTAGAAAACAGCAAGAGCTCCACAAGGAAGAGAATCCGCCACAACCAGTACTTGTACTATATCAGAGGATTATCGGAAATGATCAGAAGGATTGGGTCCAAGTATAACATCGGGACCTGCTTAAGATCTGGGAACACTATCCGTAGCAGCTTCACGAAAACCAGGCCACCAAACGCGGACTGCAATTCCAAGAATTGTAATTACAGTATCTGCGAATGCGGAGATTCAAACATCGGTGAAACTAGGAGGCCATTGAAAGTTTGCATAGCCGAGTACAAGAAACACACACACAGCGAGGAGAAATCAGAATAGCAGATGTTGTTTGGACTCATCAACACATCATCAAGTGGGCTCAAGCTGAAATCATACACAAGAAGGAACACTGGTTTAGGAGAAAATTCAAAGAAGCCGCATATATGTTGTCCAACAACGACTTCAGCCAAACTAGCATAGAGATACGCAACATATGGAAACCTCTAAGCAAGCGGAACACGACCAACTCCCGCCGAACGGTCTGCTTCCACTAAAACCGATGATGGAGCGTAGAGAGGTGATAGGTGAAAGCACTTGAGTGACCTATTAATACTAACAATCGAAAAGTCGCGAAATTTGAACATTTCACTTCATTTTTTGAACAACCCACGTAGGTGATGTTCTTAGAAGTACTCATATCAAGATCAACTGACGTAATTTTTGTTTCTATTCAGGTAAATCTCGCCACAAAAGAAAATAGCGGGTCACAATTGCTCGTTATTAGGAATATGTAGTAATCATATTCCTAAAACTTGTAAAACAAAAAAGTCTGCCTCATGAATAATAAAAAACATACTCTATGATATCTTGAAAAGCAAATGCGTGTATTCATATCAGAAAGAACAGTTAGCGTCAATTATGCTGTATTAATATAAATATCGCAAAAATTGCAGCGACTACAAATATTCCAGCAACTTATCATTTCTTGACCTACTTCCAGATAGAAATATTCAACCATATCCATATCAGTAAATGTATTGCAGACAATTTGAAATATATATCTTTTTAACGAAAACGGGCAATATATATGAAACATTTTTCTGTTTCAATATATGTCGTATGACGTGCGAATTGTAAAAACAATCTTGAGATTTGCATTTGAGCTAAAACCCTTGTCTTCAATTTTTCGTTACTACCTTTTTGAAAAACTTTGAAAGACCATTCACACAATCCTTTCAAAAATTGTACCTTCGACTTTATGTCATCGAAATAGACGCATCTACTCTTGTCACAATGACAGTTCGTTAAAATATTATTAGAGCTAGTATTATTTACTCATGTTTTAAAGGGTTTTTAATGATGTATTTGATTACTTTCTTCTTCTCTTAGGAAAATTTCCATTTTGTATTCAATGATAGTTATAAAGTTTCTTTCCAATTAAACGAATTTCCTTCGACTGGGCGTTTATTATGAACTGTCATTTTCATAATATGACATAATGTAGTTAGGTTTTTAAAAAATATTGTGTGAAAAAATCACATGATGACCTCCCGCCTTGGGGAGCCTTTTTTTAATGTTATGTGGTGTTGTATCATGAATGCGTTGTGTTTTGGCTCTGGTTTTGAAAGTATGTGACATCTTCTTTCAAAAGTCAAAAGTCATACGAATAAAATAATATTCAATATAAAAAATTAAATAAAAAGATTGGCATAGCGAATCTCAATCTTTTTCGTTTTCTCCAATTTGTCCTAAGATTTGATTCTACTTTTTAGAATTTTACTACCATGAATAGTTTTTTTTGTACATATGTATCAGATACAATAAGCTGGAACATAATAAATACAAAATACTCTTCTTAGAGATGACTTTCATCTCACAATCACCTTCATGCTTGAATGAGAAAACTGATATCAATCATCTAAGTGAAATATATTCTTACTTTTTGCATTTAGATCAAGGAATTTATGAAACTCTAAATCAAAATTGTACAAATACTCTTGCAGTTTTCTAAACAATATTTTCAAGGTTAGTACAAATTCAACAACAACAACAACATTCAACAACTATATTTCATATTATAAATTTCATTCAACACAATAAAATGAGTCAAACTTCAAAGTAATTAACTTCTTTTCCAGAAGCTGATTTATGAAAACAATCTGACATCTTGTTCTATGATACTGATTTTGTGGTTGCCTCAACTAAGTGTATTGGCACCACTGGTAATTTGACTTTGAAAAAGTATAACCAATAAACTCTAATTTCGAATATTCTCGTTATTCCCTTACTGCAATCGCAAACTTTCAACAGCAACAACTTTTATTTCAATTATTGAGTGTAAAATTCATGAATGATTATATTCCAAAAAAATTTAAACCTGTTACCAATATGGGAGCGTTTGATAAAGCAACCTTTCCAACAATTACCCAGCAACTAAACTCTAGGAAGATACCCCTGGTAGTAGGAGAATGGATACTCAAGATGTTCTCTAATAGAGCATTAAGTATCAATAAAGAAAAGATCACAGTGAGAGGAGTGGTCATGAGGGGTTGTTCACAGGAAGGAACATAGTTTTGGATACCATGATTAATCACCTCAACAATATTGGATTCTACACAATTGCATATGCAGATGACAGTTATCTTGCAGACCGGCAAATTTGTGAACACACTGTGCGATAGAGCGCAGAATGGGCTCAAATTAATAGAAACATGGTGTGAAGAACAATTACTGTCGATCAATCACGAGAAGACTGAGGTGGTCATTCTCACCAGGAAAAAAAGTTTATCGGGCTTAAAACCTTCCGAAATCTTCAGAAGCAAACTAAACTTCTCTGAAGAGGTGAAGGTACTACCCTCGACAGGAAGCTAACATGGAACTCTCACCTGCAAAGTAGAGCAAATAGAGCTTATGTGGCTTATGAGCAATGTCAGAGGACAGCGGGACGCACATGGGGTCTTTCACTCCGCGCGGTCACCTGGATCTAGGTACACTGCAATAATAAGGCCTATGTTATGGAGCTATTGCATGGGGACCGAAAGTTCTACAACAGCTCAAAAACCAAAGAAGGCTCAGGATGTGGAGTTTACTCCAGATCACTAAGCCTGAGGATTATGTAGGGAATGGGAAAAATACCAGTGTGGTACAAACAGAACTGGCTGGTATCTCAATCTCAATCAGGAAAGAAATTTCTAGCAAAATCATTATAATCTGCACTGATAATAGAGAAGCCCTATTAGTCTTGAACAGACAACGTGTAACCTCAGGGCTAGTACTAGAGTGTCACCAAGATTTAGCCAAAGCCTCGGTAGATAATAACATTATCCTGAGGTGTGTTAAAGGGTATGACAGGAGTAAAGGTAATCGCATTGCCGACTCTTTAGCCAAGGAAGCGGCTGGAATAAGTATTTTAGGACCTAGTGACACCTACGGCCTGATAACTTCGACAATTGCGGAACCAGCTGAACGTCAGACCCATGCTCAATTCCCAAAGAGATGGGATGGAATCAAAAGATGCAGTCTTTCCAGGATCACCCTGGGCAACCCTGGGAAGCTGGTGCCGAAAAAATATCTGGCGATGACCAGGAAAAACCTACGCTTAATATTAGGATTTCTGGCCGGCCACTGTCAACTGAGGAAACATCTCCATATTATGGAGCTAGTGGACACACCTCTATGCAGGATGTGTGAACAGGAAGTTGAAACTGTTAGGCATGTCTTATGCGAATGTTATCGTCAATAAGAGAGTGTGTGTTCAGCGAGTCTTGGCCTACCCCTGTCCTGGAAAGGACAGGATGACCTAGGAGGACAACTACTCGGGAGGATGTGCAATGGGTCACATGTGGCCTAAATGCTGTGGGCCAACACTCACCTTCCTTAATCTACAGATACAGAGAAAATGTCATTTGTTAACTTTACCTAAGCGTTTTTGTATATGTGTATATGAGAACTTTTCCACCATTGGCCAAGTAGTTTTATCGAAACTTAAGCACTATGCAAACAATACATCTTCATTATTGTTTTTCTGGTGATGACAATAAAACCTGTCGAAATATTTGAATCAATGTCATGAGAGTATCCTTTGGCAGGCTGCAGGCTGTGTGTGTCAACTCGAACATTCTCACGGACAAAGTATGATAAGCTTGTTTTTCCGTGTTCAGTGTGTTTCACCCTCACAACGATCATGTCTAAAACGTTTCGACAAAGTCTCATTTGCCATCTTCTGGTGCTGTCTAGCGTTTAGAAATAGACTGAACTATATTCTACTTTTAGTAGTAGTAGTAGTAGTAGTAGTAGTAGTAGTATTCAACTCGCAAGAAATTTAGTTATAGCAACACTTCACGCTCATTGAATATTATTGTATTATTTCAATACTATTCCAAAACTTTTTCTTACCTTGTTCAAACTTCCTGTCATGGTCCTCGCCGCTGGTATCTTTCGGACCAACAGTTGTTTCTCCGAAACGGGCAGAATCCGTGAAAGGATCCAAAACCAGTTCCGGCTCCTTCAAAGACGTAGCCGGACAGCAGACTATCTCGTCGAATCCGTCGAAACCGCACCTCTTCAAATCGTGCTTGTGCCGTTTCTTCAGAGACTCCATGGCGACCGGACAGTCGAAGATTTTCGTGCAAATTCCGGAAACTCCGGAGTTTCTGCACTTGTTGCTCTCTGCAAGAATGCCAACTGTGGTGAGTGACGAAACTAAATAAGTTTTAAGTTAAGTGAGATGAAGTAAAGGAATATGCAGATTACGTAGTCAACCTATCCCATGCCTAGGCTATTCAAATAATGATATATCTGAATTTCTTTTATTACTTTATTAATATTATTTAAAAGTATTATGAAGGAAAAGGTACGTGTCCAGCATGTCGAACTGGAGGGATAAATTATCCGGTTTGCCTTCTTTCGGGAACAACCGACCCCCTGAGTAATAACTACAATGATTTTTATTTTGACCATGGATATACTCTCTTTGTTTCAAGCTTTATTTACATAACTCACTCTTTATTGGTTTATTCCACTAACATTCCGAGGTGACTAACTAACTACATATGTTAAATACGTGTGGAAGTTTTACTATATCTCATACTAACCTGGCATCAACATCTAGAAAGAATGAAGAGAAATGCGGAGATAGCAATGTTGCAAGCTAAAAGCAACATTGCTAACTAAAACTAAACGTGACGTATTGGCTATACTCAGTTTTGATTAAACTCTTATTAACACACGTTTCTTTGCTTTGGTAGCCAGAGGTAAAATGAGCCATTGCTGCTAAGAACCCAGACAGGGTACAAAGTTATTTCTTTGGGAACAATGGTAGCAATGAAAACTACATCAACAGCAGTGTTGGATGAACTCTTAACCCACTTCCTGAGCATTTGTAATAACGAGGAGGCTATCGTAGACCAACTGAGACTGAAAACTTCCAAAGAATAAAATAAAATGCGATGATGTATTGGTTAGACAGGGTACGAAGACTTGATACAATGAAAACCACACCAAGAGAAGCATTGAAGAAACACTTGGATCTACCCCCTGTACAAAATTCACCAAGTTACAATTGATGGAGTCAACTTAAAATTTTGGAATATGTGGAGGAATGAGCATCAAATATAATCGCGAACACGGGTAAATCGAAACGGACCTCCGAGAAATGAACCCCCTACCAACTTATCGAGGCAGAAAGCGGAATTGTCTGTCCTGACACGGTCAAAAGCCTTATAAATTAGGATATTGTTGTAAATCATACCCGAAAAAAATTAACGGCCGGCTGCCACTGGTAGCCATAAACCAATGGTGACGTAGCTACGAGCGCACGAATGTACGATGATTCCCCGCCACTCTAGAAGCAGCGGGAATAATGCTACCGATTTCGACGGAATATCGGCGAAATTGTCTAGCGCATTCGATTACGATATATAAACGCTAGCCACGAGCATATCGGGGCAGTCAAGTGGCAGTTACAGTGCGGTACGCGAAGTGATCCAGTAAGGAGATAGACATTCAAATAATAGTTGAGGTTTTTGTTGAAGTGATTGTTGTATTTAAAGTGATATAAAGTTAAGTTTGATTATTCAGTGTAGTCAATTATTATTCAACCCACCGGTGATTGCAAAGGAATTTAGACTTTGCCGCTTTCGACTTTTGAATTCGTGAGACAAATGCAAAATATAATACGACAACCCCTTTACTGTAAATTTCCCTTATGAATAAACAAAATAATTCTGAATTTAAATCTTATGAATGCACTTTATTAAATACCAATGTTTCTGTATAAAATCCTACACATTCCTCCACCAGTTTTCCTACTCGACTAGTAGGGTTCGGCAAATACCGACAAGAACGTAACTTTTTCCCGACCATTTAAAGAAAATGTTTTGTTATTGGGGAGGACAATTTTTAAAGGTTTCATCAATTATTTTTTCCCGAACTAAAGACATTTTTGTCGACCTTCTTTCACATTTGTCGAAGAAGTCGACAAATAAGAAGAATTAGTGAAGGAAAAGACTGCGTATAAATTAAAATTTTGTCCATCTCTGAAGACGAAGGCTGAATTTAGCCTCCGAAAAGTTAAGATAAGTATTGTATAATATCTTAGCTTTTTTTTCGATAGACAAAATTATTAAATACGGTAAGTTACTAATAAAAAAAATTTTTCTTTGTGAAAAATCCTTTGAATTCACGAAGTAACTTATTGGGGTAAAATAATAAGTTTGCCTGTGTATAAAGTTCTTACTGTTTTCGTATCTTTCAGATTGTGAAAGGTGAAAATACCCAAAGATCAATAAAATTTTTTTTCCGGTCATCAACTAATGGGTATTATTGTAAATGCTTAATATTCACTTAAAGATTAAACAATCTGCTTCTCGTAACTTGTTCTAAGAATTAATACCAGTGGCAAATGGAATAATTAACGAATTATCAGTTCTAATGACAAAAAATTCACGAAACGAGGTCGAGTATAAGTAAATTGAAATTTCTTCTGAGAATCGACGAAATACTAATGGTATTTCATAAAGACTTATTTAATTTCGGTCGGTTCTGTGAAAACTTCGAATATGTCAAAACCTAAATAATTAGTTCTCTTTGTATTGATGACATTGCTATTTTCACTTCTTGTGATCCGGAAAACCTCGAAAAAACCGAAAAGTGAACGTAAACGATTAGATGATGATTCTTTATTGTGTGTTTGCTAAGGTGACCTCCCCGTCATTGTAAGCCCCGAGGCTCCTCCTAGAAACTCAATAAGGATGTAATTTGTAGATTATAAGAGCAATCATAACTGTTTTTCAAACCATAGCTACTTCGATACAATGTATATGCTAGAAAATTTTCTAAATTGCAGTCTTCGAGTAATCCCACGAAAAATCTAACGGATCTCAATCGGGTCAACTTGCAGGCCACTCTTCGGGTCCTATTCGCCCGATTCACGAGGTTAGGCTAGAAGAAACTGGATTTTCCGCTTGCCTCTTTTATTTTTTTCCTTTACAACTTACACCGTACCTCGTTGTGGTTAACTCATTGAAAATAAAGAGAGTTCAGTATTATCATAACAAAATAGACAGATACAAGAATAATTCTCATTTGATGTGGAAAACCATTTAAACCCTTGTTAATAGTAATGCTCGTACATTTCCGAACCTAATCCAATTTGAAGATGAAGAGGAAGTAAGTACTAAAAAAGGTGAACCTGACATGGCCGAAACTTTCAACCTATACTTTGTAAACAGCATCCAACATATAGTCCAAAGTATTGAGAATTCCGAACCATGGTTCAATTTGGATCATTTATATTTGCCCCTCAGCACCTTCAGATTGATTACCTTAAGAGATTTGAATGATATAATTGGGCCATTAGATAATAAATGTAGTAGGGAAGGTTTTAGACATAGCAGTATATAATAAATTATTAGAGTTTATTGTCAAAAATCAAATCATGTTTATCAATCAATCTGGTTTTCGAAAAAAAACATTCTTGTGAAACATCACTACAGTTATCATTAACTAAATTTACTAATGAAACAGATAAAGGTAAATAGGTTGTAGCTGTATTTTGCTTCAGAAGCTGAGAATATATGGGATTGAGGGGATGGTTTATGAATGGATAAGTAATTATTTATCAAATATGAAACAGAGAGTACGTGTTAACGATTATTTCTCATCATATATAACAAATCACACAGGAGTACCACAAAGTAGTGTGCTTGGACCCCTATTCTGTATCTGAATGATTTACAATCATTTACAGACTGAGTTCATCAACTTATTTGCAGATGAAACTTGGATGAAGGAGTCTGGCCTTAGGGGTATTTTATAGGCCTGCAAATACTAATTTTTTGAGCATGATTGGTGACCTTGATAATATTTCATCCGCTGTTTGTCCTGTTTCTGATGATGTGATATGCATGGGAGACTTCAACGTTGACCTTTTCAAACTACTCAATCCCCTACTCAACTGCTTTGAATGTTACAATTTAGAACAAATACTTAATGAGTCTACTAGAATCACCAACGTTTCTAGCACGCTCATTGACCCGATTTTCGTTAGTAATAATAATCATGTTGTAAGATGTTACTTTATCATCCCAAGGCATTTCAGATCACAGGCTAGTTTACGTTGAATATTTAACAAAGAAATTCAAAATAGAACCCAAACTTGTAACATACCGCTGTTTCGATAATTTCACTTTGCATACTTTTTTATCAGATTTATACCAGTTGTCGTGGTTCGAAATTATAAGTGAAAATGATATTGATAATAAATTTTACAATTTCAATTCATTTTTAATCTCTATTATTGACAGACACGCCCCTCTTAAAAAAGTTAGAATTACCAAACCACCCGCTCCTTGGCTCACTCAAAATCTCAGATTTCTTATGAAAGAACGTGATAAAGCCTTTCAAAAATAAAAAAAAAATTAATCTGTTAATGATCGTATGAGGTATAAAGAATTGAGAAATTATACCTTGTCAATAGTAAGAACTGAAAAAAGGACATTTCTCAAGTCTGTCTGTTCTGAAAAAATACCACGCAAAACCTGGAATGCTCTTTCTAACCTCAATGTTCGTTCAAAAAACATTATTTTGCCCAATTCGTACAAAATGTTTCTAATAATTGTGATGAAAATATTGAATTTTATAGAAATAATTATTTAATCAGGCAAGATAACTTCTCATTTCGATTCGCTACTGAAGAAGCTATTCATGAAATCCTGAATGATATTAAAACTCAAGCTTCAGGGGTTGATAATATTTCAATCAGAATGATAAAACTTTGTAGCCCGTTTATAGATAAATATATTACACATATCATCAATCGTTGTTTTGAACGTTCATATTTTCCAGACTTGTGGAAAATTGCCATTGGGAGACCCATTCCCAAGAATAATGATCCAGCTAGTTATTCTGATCTCAGAATTATCAGTATACTTCCAACCATGAGTAAAATTTTTGAAAGAGTTATTTATTTACAAATTAATGAATATTTCAATACCAATAATCTGTTATCACCATCGCAATGTGGTTTTAGGCAGGGTTTTAGCACGGCTACAGCTCTTGCTATTGTTACACAAGACATTGTTGAAGGATTTGATAAGGGAATGATTAGCACTCTGGTACTACTAGATTTTTCGAAAGCCTTCGATACCATCAATCATGAGCTGATTTGCATGAAACTCAAATATTATGGTTTTGATAGTGCTGCCTTACTTCTCATCTGGTCTTATTTACTTGGTCGATCTCAAAAAGTTGTTGTTGATGGTCATCACTCCTTACCTCTTGATATTCTATCAGGAGTACCAAAGGGTTCCATTTTGGGACCTTTATTGATCATCATTTATATTACTGACATTACCTCGTTATACATGCACTTTAAAATCGATGAGTGTGCTGAGGCACAAAATCTCTTCAACACTGATCTTGATTTGATCAATGGGCTATCAAGTAAACATAATTTGAAAATTAATCCTAATAAAACAATACAGCTAAAAACTTAGGGGTGATGTTTGACACTGATCTTAGATTCACTAGTCATGTTAAAAATTCAATGAAAAAAGCTTATATGTAATTGAAACTGTTATACTGTAATCATTTTATTTTGAACCAACCTCTAAAAAAAATGTTCTATGATAGTTTGGTGCTAAGCCATTTCAACTACTGTGACTTCATATATGGGCCTTACTTATACGATTCAGATAAAAAAAGAATACAAAAAGTGCAAAATTCTTGTTGCCGCCTAATTTATGGACTTCGTAAGTATGATTCAATTTTTGAAGCCTTTAAAAACTCCCGCTGGCTCAATATGAAAAACCGTATGATTCATCATTTGAATTGTTTTGTTCATAAATTGATCACCCTTCCCCATTCTCCTCTTTTAATACAAAAACTAATTATGTGTGAAAATATTCACTCAAGAAACATTAGACATAAAAACAAATTAACATCGCACTGCACAGTTTCAGAGATCATTTCTTTTTGGTGCTGTAAAACTCTATAATTCATTGCCCGAGAAGTTGAAGAGATTCAATATCAGGAAAAAACTACAAAATCGGGGAATGAGAGTAATTTTGAAATGTAATAGGTATACACCAATTTCTACCATGCTATCTGCTCTACAATGGCCCTCAGTATCCAAAAGATTATTCTATTGTTCCATGGTTTTCATTTATAAAATATTAAATATAATGACCCCACCATACTTGCTATCATTAATAACTTTCAATAAGGACATTCATCACCATTCTACTAGGCACAACAGCCACATTCATATAAATAGAACAAATACAAGAAATAGGATGAGCAGTTTATTTTTTAAAGGTTTTGTCGGATTTAATGATTTACCCGATTCAATCAAATCTACTTTATCATTGAAGATATTCAAGAGCGAACTTTTAAAATATATTCATGATGGAAATTGAAAAATTCCTTTTTGTTTAAATCCGAAGTGAATCATCACATTCACACAGGCATCGCTCTCAGACCGCTTTGAGGTTTTTCCCAACAGTTCTTCTGCATTGTTATGAGGAAAAAATCGCTTTTCAACACCAGCTAAGAACCTAGCAATTTATGAAAGTCGATAATTGAAAAAAATGAAACTATTTTCCTGGCTACTGTCAAAGACAAACATTGATTCATAGGTTACGTTCAAGAGAAGCATTAGAAAGGGGATTTTTCCTACAGTGTTATTTGTGGTTCTCAATTTTTATCTTCAACATCGGAAAATGATGATAACTCACCGAACTGTCCTCTTGTAAAACACACTTTTGTCACAAAAAACAAACAAAGGAGCATGCAATAGGAAAACCTGTGCCCGTCCATCATTCGAGATAAAGTCGATGTTATTTCACGTTCATTGCCACCATCCGATCACGACGAAGTTCACGATCAACTGGTAAACCAAAACCTAGAAAGAAATGACTGTATGGTATCTACAAGTCGCCTCGACATCGTATTTTGTAGATAAACTCGCATAGCCGGATGCTCATTTAGTAATTTATGCGCAAACTCGTTAATACAAGTATTCAATCTTCATCAGTCATACAGGGTGTCTGTCTTCAAGTGCTGGTTTTCGGACTACCACGATAAAATTCTTGGAGGATATTCATGAAACAGTATTTTTATGGAAATTTTTTGATTTGATAATGCTGCCTAATTGTGAACATATGTACTTCGAAAACATGTTTCTCAAAATAATTTTTGGTATATATTTGGAATGAGCAGGACACGATTTTGAAATCAGAACGGGGTTCTTCCTTCATTTCTTCATTTCCCAAAAATTATCAAATCATAAACAAAAACCTTCGTTTGGAATCCCTTCATATATTGGTAAAAACACAACAATTGCGGGGAACCTGAATTTATATTAAGTAATGATTGAAATTTGAGAATTTTCAAATAATTCAGATAAGTGAAAGCTAACACATATTTTTTTGGTTTTCAACCAAATTCCAGAATCAATAATTGGTTCATTATATTGCCAATAATTTTTCTTTGCTTTCCAAGAGTATATTCAAATTTCATAGGTACGCGAACTATAATTTATTCAAACAATAACTATTTGTATAATATCAGGAAATCTTTGCCAAAGCCTAATTTATTAATTCGACATATCTAATAATATTAATTAATTTCCCAGGAGACAAAATATTGAATTGGAATGTTCCAATTCCAGAAAAAGCATACAATGTGGATCTAACAAGTTACAGAGTTTTGGAATACAAAGACTCGCCGTTAAAAACTCTAAACATATCAGAAATAGGTATTGATAAGCATTTATGCTTGAGAAAGCTAGGTATTGTATAGCGAAACACATGTCGCCGTTTTTGTATAGCCCTTTATAGTGAAAATCATACAATAAACTGTATTAATTAGTTTTTTAATGTGGATTTTCATCAAGTATCGGCCAATTCTATTCAATTAAATAACTGAAAAGAGACAAGAACAACGTTAAACTTTCTATTTGGACGAAACTTGATATGACACTCACGGCACAGTTACGAAACGGTGGACTGATGGTTCGAGAATGTGTACGCCTAACATGCCTGCAAACAAAATTTGATATGAAGGTAATACAAGAAGAAGTATATAATATTACCGAAGAAGACCGACAGAAAAGGATTAATAAAATAATTTCAGTTTATAAAGATTATATGGAGATTGTGCACTTCCATATTAATGGTGGAAATAAAATCATTCAAATCAAATCAAATATGCTTTATTGTCCAAAGTATAAACTCGTTGACAAAGCTAATCATGTATAAATGAGTTTCACTATAATAACTATACATAAGATCTATAAAAGCTCAAAATATACAATAAAACATTTTTTGAAAGTAACACAAATACACCGCTTATTTCAAAATCTTTTTAAAGCAATATTTATCAAGTGGCAGTTTTTTCGATAAAATAATATTTCTTAGCCACACAAACACTTGTGTGGCTAAGAAATATTACAATATGGATTTCTAAAATTGTATAAAGAAACTGAAAAAGTTAATGCCGTATATGGAAAGAGCAGTCTGCAGTTGTTATTCACTATATGTCACATTGAATGATTTGGTTATAAGTAAATTGATAAAATTGAATGTAGATAAAGCATCAGCTGAGAAATACTTGACCCTGAGAGATAATGGTTAAACCCGAATCAGGATACGCAAAACGAATCAATTTGATGAAATAATCAGGAAAAAATTGTCACAACCTAATAAAATTTCCCATTTCGAAATATCAGTTGGAAGTCAATGAGACACATTAACCAGAAATTTAGTAACTCTTTGACGAAAACGACGGTTATTTTCATTTTCCGTGTTTGCACGTTTCTGGAAACCCCCGAAACAAAAAATCCCATGTGGCAAAAAACGATTCCTTATTGGTTTTTTAAGAAATTGGTACTCACTTTCACAACAAATCTAAAACTTCATCAACAGGACACTAGAACCTAGAATCATTTTCATTTGCCCTTGACTAGATTCAAAGTAACGTCATGTGCACCGGAATATATTGGTCCAAAAATTTTAAACACTTAACCGTGTTAGGAATCAAACGTTAAAAGGTAAGACCTCGTTAGTCCTTAGCTCGCAACTCAACTCAACTTCTGAGAGTTGTCGTTCGTATGAGGGCGACACCTGATTAACGGAAAAATAGATTTTTAAACAGATTTAAACTTTCTAGATCATTTAAAGGCTCAAAATAGTTTTTCTGTGTTCAAACAAAGCATTAAAGAATTATTTATTAGAAAAACGTTCTTATGCTTTTTTAGAGTATAAGCCTGTCTTCCTCTTTACTTTTCTTTTTTAATTCGTATTTTGTATTGACACTCCTTACACAATCTTATTATCTGACTGGAAATAAATAATTAAAATATGTTTAAAAAATATGTTTTCCGTTAACCTGCTATCGCACCCCTATGAACGACAACTCTCAAAAGTCGAAACTTGTTCGAGCTAAGGGCTAACGAGGTCTTACCTTTTAACGTGTTATTCCTAACACATTATTAATATTATTATTATTATCTTTGCTTTTGGCTAGTGAGTCATTTGAAAAATTATACAGTCATATTGAAAATTAAATATTTTCATCTTTAAATCTAGATTCAGTCGAATGTTTGAATAAAAAACTGCATTTTTCTAAAGGTGCATTTATTTTGAAGATGAAACTTGTTGGAGAGAAGGACTGAGATCAGTCAAAGCTGTTTCAATTTAACTCCTCATTTCGGTTTATTAATAAACCATAATCAAGGATGTTGAAATGGTACTTTAACAATCAGTTTAACAATTGTACAATGAATAAAAGCGAGTTGAAAGCTCAAAATTTAGATTTTGAATAGTACCGAAACTTGTGAAATATTTTATTGAAGTTACCCTAGTTCGTTTTGGGCAGTGTCAAAAAATAGTATGTTATGCACATTGGATATCTCCTTTTCAAGTTCATACATCAACTGTCTTGCCGGCTATGGACTGGTGATTTTGGCATTTGTGGTTCTTATTGTTAATTATAAATACGTACCAGAACTTGGATTATTAAAGTTTGGATATCCCTAAATTCAGATTTATTCATGATATTTAATTGATATCATGTCCCAGTAGCATGCGTACATAGGTTTGATTTTGTAGGTATTTAGACTACAGTTGGTTTTTTCTTTCGACCATTTCTCGTAAGATTCTTTTTGTTAGGTTGGATTCTTTGGCAATAATGCTGGTTTTCAAAATCAAATTGGTGTACCTCGATGAAGATATGATCTGCTAATGAGATTGGTTAGTACTGTATCTTTCTTGTGTTTGTCAATACGTTCCTTGAGATAACGTTTTGTTTGTCCTTTGTATGTTGCATCACAATCTTGACATTATATCTTATACATTGCATTAGACTGCAATTTTTATGGAGTGACCGTTTTGAGGTTAGAAAATACTTACTGGAGAGTGTTTTCATGTTCAAAAGCAATGTGTGTGTCTTTTAAGGACAAAACACATGCACTACAGAAAAATCCTTGAGGCATTCTGAAATCGGTTCCTGTGCGGAAGTAGCGATTCACATTGGATTTGAATCGTTGGAGACAAAGTTAATTCCACAGAAACGGAGTTCTACAAATGAAAGAGTTTTCAATCAGTGAAGTCCGAGGTGTACTGAGTTGAACCCCAAAACGATGAGCAGCCACAGTCCGTCGCGTATTTCTGATATGTACCGTTCTTGGTGGAATCAAATGTGTCAAGTCACTTGAACACTTGCCGTGAAAGTATATATAGAAGAGAGACAAATCTCCAACCTTTCTTCGATGTTCCAGACTATCGAGTTGCAAGTGATATTCGCGTCTCCAATTAGGCGGATAGCTCTTTTCTGGATGGAATCCAGTAGCTTCAGGGCGGAGCTCCATACATGAGAACAATACTCCAAAGAAGTTGGAAGTTGTAAATACAGTTACTAGATAAGATACATTTCAATTTGGATTTGGATTTTTTTGGAGGTATTGAAATTTTTTAATTTTTGAAATTGAGATGGTAAGTTGTTATAGAGTATCAATTTTGGTGGTTGTTTGAATCCTTGTTTTTGGTTCAACTATTCTGGTTTTGAACCTTGCATCATATTCATGTATCTCTGCTTAATGAGTTTCATAGCATTCAATATTATTTTTAATATATATTAGTTTGTGGTATATAATTAAGGCATAGTGCCAACATGGCGAACGATAAGCAGGTGTTGACAACTGCTCCCAAAGATTTACTCAAAAACTGCAGTAATTGCAACGACAAATTAAAGATTAGTAGTGCATGTGAACTATGTAAACTTCCACTATATATCAGAGATAGCTGGAGGCTGATCAATTTTGAAAAAGGTAAAGCAGCATCTCAAGAAGCAACTGATGTGATCACACCGCACGAAATCAATTCATATTTTACTACCATTACCGAAACCATAGTAAGTCAACAATCACACAAAGTTAACGAAAACTCTTTGAGATCACTTGATAACGGTCTTAAACCTATCTTATCTGGATCCTTTTTTTTTCGAACCCATCAATTCATCTGAAGTTTTCAGTGCTATAAATGAGCTAAAAAACTCCATTTGCTTTGATGTGTACAACCATCTATAATAAGATCATAAAGGAAACATGCACATGGTAACATGGAACCTCTTACGTTTATTTACAATTCTTGTATTAGCGAAGGATGTTTCCCAGACAAATTCAAAATCAGTAAAGTCATTCCAGTTTTCAAAAAAGGTAATAAAAATCTTACTGAAAAGTACCGTCCCATTTCCATCGTTCCCATTTTTTGAAAAATTTTCGAGATAATCCTAAAAAAAAGGTTATACCTCTATTTTGAAGTAAACAATCTTCTGAACACTAACCAATACGGTTTCCTAAAGTCCTGCTCGACTATTCAAGCAGTAGCTCGGGTTGTGAGGGATATAGTTGATGGTTTTGAAAAGGGTCATCAAAGTGCTGTG